CTGCAGGGCCGCCCGTGACCTCCAGGGGACCCCACAGCCAGCCCCCCTCCCTGCTGTCCCCATAGCCGCCCGGACCAACGGGCACCCAAGGGGGGACCGGCGGCGGGACCTAGGGCTGCCCCCCGACAGCGCGTCCACCGTGCTGAGCAGTGAACTTGAGTCCAGCAGCTTCATCGACTCGGAGGAGGACGACAACACCAGCCGGTGGGCGAGGGCTGGGGTGCGAGGCGGGGCGGGGCGTGTGTGCAGGGTGTGTCCGCGTGCATGTGCACGTGTGGGCAGGGGGCCCTGCTGGTGGCTCGCTGTCTTGGGGGGGCGGCTTTCCCCAGGTCTGGCCCCGCCCCCGCCCCTCTGGCCTCAGTTTCCTCTGCCGCGTGGGGGAGGGGTGGCCAGGCCCTGACTCTGCGCCGACCGCCCCCACCCCCCCCACCCCCACCCCCCACGCCCCGACCCCGCCAGGCTGAGCAGCTCCACGGAGCAGAGCACCTCCTCCCGGCTCATCCGGAAGCACAAGCGCCGGCGGCGGAAGCAGCGCCTGCGGCAGACAGACCGGGTAGGTGTGGAGGCCCGAGCGGGCAGGTGGGTCCCAGCCGCGGTCCCACCCGCAGCCCCTCACCTGGCGCCCCCCGCAGGCCTCCTCCTTCAGCAGCATCACGGACTCCACCATGTCCCTGAATATCATCACCGTCACGCTCAACATGGGTGAGGCCTCGGCGGGGCAGGTCCTCGGGCCTGGCACGGGGTCCTCGGGTGGGGGGCACCTGCTCACTCCCCCTCTCTGCAGAGAGGCACCACTTCCTGGGCATCAGCATCGTGGGCCAGAGCAATGACCGGGGCGACGGCGGCATCTACATCGGCTCCATCATGAAGGGCGGCGCCGTGGCTGCCGACGGCCGCATCGAGCCGGGTGACATGCTGCTGCAGGTGCGGGGCCGGGGGAGCCACTGGGGGGCCGGGGGGCCGGCACCTGCACCCACCGCGCTGACCCCTCGTCCCCAGGTGAACGACGTCAACTTTGAGAACATGAGCAACGACGACGCGGTGCGGGTCCTGCGGGAGATCGTGTCCCAGACAGGGTGAGGCGCGGGGCGGGCGGGGCAGGGGCTGAGAGTTGGGGGGGGTCCCCCCGGGGCCTCGCCGTGTGACCCGCCCTCCCCGCAGGCCCATCAGCCTCACTGTGGCCAAGTGCTGGGACCCGACGCCCCGCAGCTACTTCACCATCCCGAGGGGTGAGTGACCCCACGGGGCCAGCGGGGCGGGGGCGGGGGGTGCCCAGCGCGGCCTGAAGGTCCTCTCTCCTCTGCGCCCCTGTGCTCTGCTCTCTCTCCCGCCGTCCGTCCGTCCGTCTGTTGCCGCGCGGTGGCCGCCCAGCTGACCCCGTTCGGCCCATTGACCCGGCCGCCTGGCTGTCGCACACGGCGGCGCTGACCGGAGCCCTGCCCCGCTACGGTACGAGCCCCTGCTCCAGCGCCGTCTCGCGCACCAGCACCTCCTCACTAACCAGCTCGGTGCCCGGCGCTCCGCGTAAGTGGTGGCTCACGAGACCAGGGAACTGAGGCCCCAGGCGAGGGCCTGGCCGCGGCGCCCCGGATGGGGATGGTCGGTTGCACCCGAGGCCCAGCCCATGCCAGGCTCCGGCAGTCAGATGCAGCGCCCACAGGGCTCCGCCCTCCTCCCAGCCTCTGGTGGAGGTGGAAGATGCCTGGAGGGGCCCGGCCAGCCCAGGGGTCTGCCTGCGGGGCGGGGCGGGGAGGGGCGGCTGTCTGAGCAGGGCCCTCACCTGGCTTTCCTGCCACTAACATGACTAATGGCCCCGAGCTCGCGGGGGAGGGGGTTGAAGAGGCCCGATCTCCGCCCGTGGGTTCCTCGTCCTGGTTGGATCCCAGATTCTGATGAAGCGACTGCAGGGTAGGAGACGAAGGTCCAGCCCCCACCCACCCCCATGTGCCGGCTCCCTGACCCTCGGAGCTGTCAAGCAGTGGGGCTGGACCCCCCCAGTCACTGGGCCAGCAGAGTCTGGTCTCTGAGGGGGTGCGGCAGGTGGGGCCTGGGGTCCATTCTGACCCCCACCCCGTCTGTCAGCCACTCGGGCTGAGGAGGAGGCCGTGCCTTGCAGAGCTGGAGGAGGTGCCGCTGACGGTGAAGAGTGACATGGGCGCTGTCGTCCGGGTCATGCAGCTGCCGGACTCAGGCCTGGAGATCCGCGACCGCATGTGGCTCAAGATCACCATCGCCAACGCCGTCATTGGTGAGGGTCCCACGGCCAGCAGAGGGGGCGGGGCGGGGCGGCCCCGGGCCCCTGCCTCACGGCCGCCCACCACACCAGGGGCGGACGTGGTGGACTGGCTGTACACGCACCTGGAGGGCTTCCGTGAGCGGCGGGAGGCGCGCAGGTACGCCAGCAGCATGCTGAAGCGCGGCTTCCTGCGGCACACGGTGAACAAGATCACCTTCTCCGAGCAGTGCTACTACGTCTTCGGGGACCTGTGCAGCAGTGAGTAGGGGCTGCGGGGCGGGGTCCCCAGAGGGCCCGCCCACGCCGCCCCACGCCCGCCCCACGCCAACCCCGCCCCCACCCCCGCCCCGCGCCACCCACCCCCCTCACCCCCGCCTACCCCTTCGCAGACTTCGCGGCGCTGAACCTCAACAGCGGCTCCAGCGGGGCCTCGGATCAGGACACGCTGGCCCCGCTGCCCCACCCGGCCGCCCCCTGGCCCCTGGGGCAGGGCTACCCCTACCAGTACCCGGGGCCCCCGCCCTGCTTCCCGCCCGCGTACCAGGACCCCGGCTTCGGCTACGGCAGCGGCAGTGCTGGCAGTCAGCAGAGTGAAGGTGAGGGCCTCCCGCCCGGCCGCCACACCTTCCCCACCGCCTAGCTCTGCCCTGTGTGCCGGTTCCTCCACCCTGTGCGCTCCCATCCGCTCTGTGCTTGGGCCCTGGGTGGCTCCTTCTAGAAGGGGCGAGTGGTCGAAGGGGGGCCAGAGAGAAGAACCCGGAGGCTTCAGGGGTTGCGTGTGGGGGCCGGTGCTCCAGCCGTGGCAGAGGCCAGAGGTGGTGTGGGAAGGATGGGGGCGTCGGGGTGTGGTGGCCCGGGTGGGGGAGTGGCATGGGGACCCCAGGACACAGTGGAGGACAGAGACTTCCGCCTTCCACCTGCAGCCGGAGGTGACAGTTTCATAGACGGCCCAGCCCGATGCTGGGATGTGTGGGGCAGCTGAGCGGGAAGCTTGGGGTGTCCCTGAGGAGGGGACCTGTTGGAAGTGTCCCGAGGCTGAGTGGGGTCAGTGAGGTCCATGGGCCCGTGCCCCCAGCGTCTGGGGAGAGGTCTGGTGGCTGGCCCGGTGGACCCAGAAAGGGACGGGGAGACAGGAGAGTGGATCGGAGGATAGTGGTGTCTGAGGGGAAGCCGTGTTGTGCACCTGTGGACCCTGGACAGGCCCAGCCGGTGGGGTCACACCCTGGTAGCAGGGTGTGGGTGCCCAGCCGGGCCTGCTCTGTAACTCATCTATCCCTTGCTTTGTGCTGGGCAAGCCTTAGACTGAAGGACTAGCGGAACGGACCCTCGGGGCCGGTAAGCCAGGGTCCTGCCCGGCGTCCCTCCCGGCACATCCCCAGCCAGTGGGCGTCTTCAGGTTCCCGACACTTCCTGAGCCCAGGAGGGGCTGAGCCGAGTGGCCAGCCAGGGCTCCAGGGTCAGACGAAAGGCGGGTCTTGGGTGGGGAGCCCAAGATGGCCGGCAGGTGCGCCAAGCACACACGGCCTTCTCTGGGTCTCGGTTTCTCAGCTGCAAGACCAGGCCCTCGGTCCAGGCACTGGGGTGAGGAGTGGGGGCACTGAGCTGGCCCTGGTGTCCCTGCCTGTCTGCCACTGCCCCCCCGCCCCCCCCCCCCGGCCTGCTGCAGCTGCTCTTGCTTCCCTGGGCGGGGCCGGCCCAGCCCTTGTGTCTGCATGGCTCCCCCCTCCACCTGCACCCCAGCTCAGGACCACCAGGCTCTGCCCCTGGTTGTCCTCACAATGGCCGGCCATCTTGGAAGAGGCAAGGCCCGGCACTGACCGTCCCATTCCTCTCCCCCCTTCTTGACCCCAGGAAGCAAAAGCAGTGGGTCCACCCGGAGCGCTGGCGGGAGCAGCCGTCGGGCCCTGGGGCGCGAGAAGGAGAGCCGGTCGGCTGGAGCTGGGGGCAGTGGCAGCGAGTCGGACCACACAGTGCCAAGCGGGGTGGGCAGCGGCGGCTGGCGGGAGCGTCCTGCTGGCCAGCTCAGCCGTGGCAGCAGCCCGCGCAGCCAGGCCTCGGCCGCCGCCCCAGGGCTTCCCCCGCTGCACCCCCTGACAAAGGCGTACTCGGTGGTGGGCGGGCCGCCTGGGGGGCCGCCTGTCCGGGAGCTGGCCGCTGTCCCCCCAGAGCTGACAGGCAGCCGCCAGTCCTTCCAGAAGGCCATGGGGAACCCCTGTGAGTTCTTTGTCGATATCATGTGACCAAGGAAAGAGTGCTTCCGGCCTGGCCACTGCTTCCAGCCAGTGGTCCTGCTGCCCCTGCAGGAGGGGCTGCACCTGGAGCTTGTGTGGCCTTCGTGGCCTTCCTGGGTCAGACCAGCCTGTGCTTCGTGCCATGGGGTCTGGGCCTGGCCAGAGTGGCAGCAGGCTGGAGGAGAGGGGCTGAGGGTAGCCCAGGCCACCGTAACCTGGATGGCAGCCCATCCTCCTGGCCAGAGCAGCTGTGTCTGTGCAGACCCCGGTGGGGGGGCCTCCATCTCCCTGTGCTCAGGCAGGTCTGACCTGCCCGCCTTGGCGTGTGCCTCAGGGACCCGCACTCGCCCACAGTGCTGTGCACGGGGCCTCAGGTTGAGCTGAGAGGTGGCCGCTAGGCCTGGGCCCCCCTCTTCACCCGGTTCACAGGCCCCACCCCCCATCCTGCCCAGGCCGGGGTGGGGGGCCCTCTCGGGGGTAGGGTCCTAGCCCCGAGGCCTCTCTCTGGCTGCCCAGGGTAGGGATCTAATTTATTTATTTATTGCCTGGCCTGTGTGCTCCACGGGGTGGCGGCCAAGTCAGCTGTCCCCCACTCCCAGCCACTGGAGCAGAGTTTCATGTGTTCACCCCCACCCCGCAGGGACACACGGTGTGTCTGAAGGTGTGCGGGAGGACGGTGAGGGGGAGATGGCAGGAGAGGGAAGGTGACACTGAGGGCAAGGGCCACAGATGCACACAGCTGCTGCCGGGGCGGGGTCTGGGGCAGAGGGCGTGGCCAGTTCGCCCCTCCCCGCGGTCCTGGGGTGGCCGCGCACGCACGCACGCACGCACGCACGCACGCTGCTCCCTCCGTCCAGCGTCGCTGGCCTGCACACGTCTGCACTGTAGATACTGTGCGGAGCTGGAGCGTCGTCCAGGTAGTTAATAGAGCTGCTTCTGTGTAAATGCTATTTTAAACACTAAAAAGCATTTAATTTTATGGGACCGACGTGTGATCTGTGTCTCTTTTTAACCACTTTAGGAGATTGGGGTGCAGGGGCCGGGTCAGCTTCCCCAGGGTCCGTCCGAGAGCTGACCCAGGACCCAGGGACAAGGCCCTGGCCGCAGCAGTCCTGGCGGGCGGTCTTCTGTCTGTGGTGCTGGCTCCTGGCTCCGGTGGGGGGTGCGGGGGGTGGAGGGTGGGGTGGGGTGGGTCGTCCTTGCGGCTGCTGCTGGCCTTGGTGCTGACCCCCGACCCTGGCCGGGCTCTGTCCGCGGTGCTGGAGGGGACTGGCCACATTCTACTGGCTCGCTGGCCAGGGAGAGAAGGAAGCTGGGTGCCCCCTCCTTCCTGAGCGGGTCTCTGCCCTGCACTGGGGCCCACAGTCAGGCACACACCCCTGCAGAGGAGTCAAGAAAGCCCCACCCACCCACCAACCTCCCACTCCTACGATGCTTGGACAGGATGCTGGGGGGGGGCCCAGGCTGGGCCCAGCCAGGCAAGTGGTATCCAGCTTTGCCTTCACATGGTTTGGCTGGGGGCTTTCCTGTGCGCTCAGCCTGGGCTACGGGGGGCCCCGAGGAAGCCTCCATGGGCCTCTGTCTGGAACAGTGGCGCTGGGTCACCTGTGCAGGCCAGGGCTTGGCTGGGGCAGGGACAGAGCCTGCCTCTGGGGCCCCAGGGGTTGAGATCCCACGGAGCTGAGGCCCCTTATGCACTCTGGAGGTCACTGTGGGGTCAAGGTCAGCAGAATGTAGGGCTGGGGAGTCACAGCGGAGTTGGGGCACAGTCTAGGTTGCTGCATAGGGACTTGGTCTGGGGGCACCTTGACTAGGTATGAGTTCACTGGGGTGAGGTCACTGGGTCAGGGGTCGCTTGTTTTCTCCCTGAGTCTCCTCCCCGCCCCCACTGCTGCCTCGCCCTCTGGCATCGCCAGGACCCCCTCCCAGGAAGAACTCAGGGGTGTTGAGGTCCGGCCGCCACAGCAGCAGGTAGCACTTAGGCAGGTGGGAGGTGCCCAGGATGCCCAGCACACAGAAGAGGATGGCGCCCACCTGCACGGCAGGCTGGGAGACCGTGTGCACGTCGGCAAAGGGGGACGAAGGAGACCCAGGTGATGAAGTAGGCCAGCATGGCAGAGGTCAGGCCGCGGGCACCGTTGTAGCCCCCGGGCCGGCTCTTTACCGGGAAGGTGCCCAGGAAGCAGAGGAAAGCCAGCGTGGCGTTCACCAGGCCGAAGCTGACCCAGGAGCGCACGTGGCAGTGCACCAGTGCCTCCGTGGACGGCACTTGCCAGCCTGTCGGCACCTCCGGCGGGAAGATACCAGCCAGCACCCCACAGGCGGCTGCAGAGCCGGTCTGCCTAGCTCGGCTGCAGCTCTGACCCCACGAAGATCTCAGCCGCCTGCAGGAAGGGTGTGCTCCAGCAGCCGGTGAGCAGGAGGTGGTGCAGCGGCGGCTGGGCCAGGCAGCTGGCAGGGCTGGGCCGGCTGGGAAACAGGAGGACGCTGAGGCAGACAAGGCCCAGGCAGAGCAGGCCTGTGGCCCCCCACCCGAGGCCCGAACCATGGGCTGTGCCGGCGCCAGATGAAGAGTCCCAGGGCTGCCAGCACCAGGCCCAGAGCCGGGGGCAGAGCAGAAGCAGCCCCAGGAACTTGGGCCGGCGGGGGAGGCACCGGTGCTCCAGTCCGGGGACCTGTGGTCCTGGTCACACTTGCTGCAGAGGGCAGGGGGAGGAGAGGGGGGTGCTGGGGGCCGTCGGCTTCCCCCAGCCTCGCCCCTGCCACGGCCTCTGGCCTCAGAGCCAGGCCTGTGCCCCCGACCCTGCGGGGACCCTCCCTCGCTCGTGCGACAGTGTGGGAAGGCCCCTCAGAGGGCTCACCTGGGTTGCGCTGGTAGCTGCCTGCTTTGCAGTCGGTACCGTCGTAACAGCAGGAGTGGAAGCCCTTAACGCGGTGCACCTGGCCCTCCTTGCACTGCCGTGAGCACTGGGGCACGGGCTCCGGGCACGGGCTCCTGGCACGGGCCCCGGGGCTCAGGCTCCGCACGGCTGGCTGCAGCTGCCCGAGCCCTGGGGGCCGCCCCGCTCCCTCAGGCAGGGCTGGCGCTCACCTGGTTTCCCTGCGTGTGCCACCTCACCTGGGAGTGCCAGAGCTGCAGGCTGCCATTGAAGGTGCCCACGGTACGCAGTGTGGGCGTCCGGTCCCACCGTACCCACAGCTTCTGGTCATGATTCACGTCCACGTTCCCGTTGGTGTCAAACCGCAGGCTCAGGTTGTGCGTGTTCTCCGGGTGCTGGCGGGGGGGGGGGGGGGGGGGGGGGGGCCCCCCCCCAGCCCCCCCAGCCCAGACCTGCTCCCACTGTCCCTCCTCCCTGGTGGCGCTGGTGGCACAGCTCCCGTGCCCTCACCTGCCAGGGCCGCACGGGCTCCCGCACAGGGCAGCCCGAGGTGTCGCAGAGCAGCGTGTTGTGGAGCGCCTGGGCCACGCTGTACACAGCTGCGAAGGCGCGAAGGTCTGGCGGTGCAGCAGCCCGTCAGTCACGTTCTCCAGGGTGATGCAGTCACACTGAGGGCAGCGCGGCCCCACCACGTGCTCCTCCAGGCCTGGCTGCCCTGCGTCCAGCGAGGCGCAGTAGGCGGGGTCCGCGGCCAGGGCCAGGCACGTCTGCACGTAGGACGGGAACTCGGGCATCTGGGCGCCCTGACGCGGGACGCCGAGCACGGTACCCACCCGGTCCATGCTGGGCAGCGTCATGACCAGGTTTGAGGGCAGCCAGGCCTCGCTGGCCACCCACATCTTGGGCGAGAGCCTGTAGCAGATGCTGTAGCTGAAGAGGGTGCGGGCAGTGCAGGCAGAGAACACCTCACCACCTGCACGCTGCTCTGGTTCACCCGGCGTGGCAGGCCCTGCACGGAGCCCAGCCGCGGGCTGCCGGCTCTGGGCAGCGGCACCCAGCGCTCGCACGCGATTCAAGTGCCCTTGGCGTCGTCCAGGCCAGAGAAGAGGCACAGGCCCTGCCAGCTGTACTTGTCTTTGCTGCCCACGGCGGCCACCCAGCTCCAGTGCAGCTCCCGCAGCAGCTCCACCACGGCCGCCACCTGCACGTGGTCGCTGGGCACCGTGTGGAGGAAGGACGGGAACGTCTCGCGGCTGCTCAGCCAGTCCGTGCTGGCGCCGTAGCTGACCTGCGGGTCCAAGGCAGCTCCTGACGCAGGGGCTCCCGAGGCGGGCAGGAGGGGGGACGCGGGCTGGGGGGTGCACGTGCGGCATGAGGAAGAAGCTGGTGACCAGGGCGACCTCGAAGGAGTGGGACCCGATGACGGCCAGCACGTGGGGCTGGTACTGCATATAATCGTAGTAGGCGGCGACGCTGCAGCTGCCGGCCTTGGCCATGAACACCAAGCTGGGCTTCGCGGCGACCATGGGCTCCCAGCACGTGTTGAAGAAGTTGTAGCCCAGGCGCAGCCCCGGGGATCAGGGTGGACCCGCTGTTGATCTCCTCCATGGCCATCGTCGTGGCCAGCGCCCAGAGCAGCCCAGGGGACGAGAGCATCCTCAGCTGAGCCCAGGGGGGCAGAGCCCCCCAGCACGTAGTCCCCTGGCCAGCTGAGCAGCGGGGCCCCTGCCCTGACGCCCAGGACAGCCGCGAGGCCCAGGAGAGCCAGGCCTGGCATGGCAGGTGGCAGCTTCCAGCAGGGACGGCAAGTGGGCAGACTGACCGGGGCGCCAGATATGGGGAGTCGGGGCGTGGAGGGGCAGAGGATTTGTTTAGCAAAGCGCTTGCCTGTCCTCACCTGCCAGCTCGGGGCCCTGGAGATGTCCTCCATCTCCTGGGCCCCACAGGTGTGCTCACATTGGATTCAACCTGATGCCACCACTAGGCTCTCTGGCTGACAGTGACCCGGGCAGGCAGGCTTTGGGCAGCCGCTGACTGTGACCTTGCTACCTGCCTGTGCCCAAGCCCCTGGCACCCACCTATTCCTGGAGAGGGGTCACCCTGTACCCGTCTGCCAGAGGGGCCTGGATTCTCTGGCTGCCTGTGAGACAGGCTTGGAGGTGCCAATGCCCCAGGGAGTGGGCACAGAAACACTCCCTCCAGCCCTGGGGAGGCACTGTCGGCAGTCGGGGTGGGAGACTGCAGGGGTGGCTCCCTTGGCAGGCCCAGGGGCAGCCTGGGGGGGTGCGTCCCACAGCCCTGCAGGCCAGCCAGGAGGACAGTGGGTGGCCGGATGGCCCGCTCCCACCCCGTGGCGAGGGTGGGGAGGGTCCCGAGGGGGAGGCCGTGGGCTCTCAGCCTGCCTGGGGACAGTGCACCTTGAGGGTCTAAGGCCTAGAAGCTGCGGGGCCCCGTGGCTGGCCGTGTTCACACCGGCCTGGGCCCTGCCTGCGCGGGCCAGGCTCGCAGCTGGGCCCGAGGAGCGGCATGCAAGCGAGGGAGGAAATGCCGTAACCAAGCGGGTCAGCCCCAGGGTGTGCCGGGGGCCTGGGGGCCCGGCCAGCAGCTCCCGCTTAGCCTCTGGGTGCCTGAGGACCCGTCTCCCCCAGTCTGGGGCTGGGGGCCTCACTGACACCAGGCTGCAGGCACCCAGAGGAGCTGGGGGAGGCTAGCGATGGCCCTGGGGTATGGCGGTGGGGCCCGGCAGACATTTATGGGACGTGGTCTAGGGATCCAGTCCTTGCCTGTCTCCACTGCCCTGTGGGGCGCGCACACATGGCACAGCACACACGCTACACGCATGCGCAGGGCCTGCACCTGCACCATTGCATGCACACGTGCACACACGTGCAGCCCTCACTGTCTGGCTCGGGGGAATCCCAGGCTGTTCCCCCAGTCACTGGCCTTTGCAGGCACACCAGGCTCTGGTCCCCGCTGGGTGTGGGGACTTGGAGGTGGCTTGTGTTGGGCACTGCTATTCAGTGCTGGCTTTGGGGCAGCGTCTGAGAGGACCCTCCCTGACAGGTATCCTCCTTCTGTCCAGGCCACTGCCATGGCGTGAGCAGCCCCCCTCCACTGGCTGCAGTCCAGGCAAATTTTCTTCTCTCTACACGGTGTGTGGCTGGCCTCAGACCTGCGTTTCCAACTCAGCCACTTAGGTGATTCTGTGACTCAGTTTTTTCACCTCTAAAGTGGGGATAATGTGGACCTTGGCAACAGATGGGGTTCGGCAGGGCTAAAGCTTGCACAGAGATGGGCAGGACCCCAGCACTGGCCGGGGCATACCTCACGTCCCTGTGGTTGACACAGCCCTGACTGCCTGGGAGCAGGTACCTGGCACACCCGACACCCCCGTCCTGGAGAGCAGCAGTTCTGCTAAGTGCAGTTTATTTATTTTGGAAAAGCCATCACCCGTATTACAGCTTCTAAGGGTACCTGAAAGCTTGCACTTATGTACGTTTGCTGCACGGTGAATAATGTCCCCTTGGCACCTGAGGTCCTGGCCTCACAGTGAAGAGGCAGTGGGTGGGGCCAGGCCCCCAAGCTTCCTGCACTTCATCCACCCGGGAAAGGCCTGACTGGACATGAGTGTACCTTAGCTGAGGGTAAAGATGAGATGCCCAGGCAAAGGAGAGGCCGGGCGTGGAGCAGACGGCCAGCGTCTGCCTTCTCCGTGAAGCCTGTCTGCAGCGGCTGGATGCTCTGAATGGCTCCCGACGAGCTCAGCTCACAGGGGGACCCAGAAAGTTCCACGGTGGGACTGATAGGTCCCGGCTGCCCCCACCCAGCTCTGGATTAGGGGAAGCCCACCCCACCTGGGCCTGCCAGCCCCTAGGGTAGGTCCAGCAGGGCGTGCTCGGCGTACAGCCTCTGGGAGATGTCGTAGACGCGTTCAATGAAGGGCAGGGCCTCGCCCAGCATCTCCACGGCCTGCTCGGGGGACCCCACGTTCATGGTCTCCAGGAAGACCTTGCGTGTGGGCAGTGCACAGAAGGCCACGGTAACGGCGCGGCGGATGATCCAAGGGTGGTAGGCGGCCAGCGAGGCATTGTAAGAGTCAGTGCAGAGCGCGGCAGTGCGCGCGTCCTCAGGGCTGGTGCGGATGCCCTCCAGGAAGAGCTGCAGCCAGTGCAGGGCGCGGTGCAGCCGCAGCACCGTCCGGCAGCCCGAGTCAGGGTGGCGGGAGCGCCTCTCCAGGTCCACCAGCTGGCTGCCCACCTCGTAGGCCACCATGGCCTGCAGGGTGCTATAGTGCTCCTGCTGGGGGCCACCGCACAGCTGCTCCATGATCTGCAGCTTCGCCACCACATCCTTGGAGATGAACGAGAAGATGGTGCCCAGGCTGTTCAGGAACCTGCGCAAGGGAGGCGGGCGCTCAGCTGGGGGTGCGGGGGAGAGCACCCCCCACCTTCTGGGCCGCGAGTGAGGACAGCCGACCAGCACCGGGCCAGCAGGTGCCTACAAGTGCCGGCGGGACGCAGGTGGCGCAAGTGGGACGCATGGCCAGGAAAGGCCCTCGCACGCACCTGACCAGCCCCCTCCAGCTGGCGAGGTAGTGGTCCAACAGCACCTCTTCCTTCTCGTTGAGACACTGCTTGAAACTGAGCAGGACAACTTTCAGATTAAACTCTGACTCCAAGTCATCCATTTCAACAGGAACTGAAACACACCGGGAGTCAGGCTGTGGGTTGTCTCCTGGTGAGGAGGCTCCCTCCTTGGGTCATTATTTCGGGGAGGGAGGGCAGGGGCAGCTGGAAAGAAACAGCTGGGCTACTGCTGCTCCCCAGTGAAAGCCCACAATAACCCCCATCCCCAGGCCAGCCCCTCCTCCCCAGGAGCCCACCTCGCTCTGCTCGGGTCACACACTCACAGACACACAGGCCTGGCCCGGCTCTTAGCACGGCCCCCCGACGCTCAGGCTTGTCAAACCACTGCCACGTCTCACTCGCAGGAGGCGTCTCTGCTCAGGTTTCCTTGCTGGTTTATAGTCTGTCTCTCTTGAGTGTATGTCTGTTCCTACTAACTGGAGAAGTATTTGCTGAGTCCCCACCCAGAGCCAGGCACCCATTCCAGTGCACTGTGAGTGAGACCGACAGCCTGGCCCCGCTGAGGCAACATCCTAGTGGCAGGTGTGTGTGTGTGTGATAATAGCAAAGACAGGAAGTTCAACACAGTAGGTAAAAGGAGAAGCACCGTGGCGAGGCAGACTGTGGGCTGAGGCTGGAGGGCCATGCCCTTCCCTGCTTGAAGCTGCCTGGCAACACAGAGCAGAGGCTGCGGGGTCAGCATTTGCCGACAGATGGACAGACACCAGTCTTCTCACTCCTACTGTAACTGTACCCGTCGCACACAGAAGGGCAGCTGGAGCACACACAGGTTTTCTCACACTCTGAAGACAGCCACAGGCCCTCCCCCAGCCCCAGGGAGTCCAGAAGTGCCCCAGGCCAGAGGCCTGCTCTGGATTCTGGCATTCATATAGTCACTCCACAAACACCCAAGTGCCCAAGCGTTAGTGGGTGTCGCTGGGCACCTCAGCCCCTGCCTCCCTGGGTGCCTGGGGCCTGCACTGCGGTGTGGCTCTGACAGGTCCTGGGGACTGAGCTGTGTCTCACCTCATGTCCAGGACAAGCTCTCACCCCTTTGGGCATGGGGGTTCCTGTGCTCTTGGTGCTGGGAGCACTGTGGGAGCCCGGTCACCCGAGGTGTGTGGTGAGAGCTCAGCCAGGAGAGCACACTAGTGCCTGGGCAGGGTCTGCCTTCCACTGTGCGGGCAAATCGTGCACTGTTCTAAGACCCTGTCCCACATCTTTGGGGAAAATGGGCCCGCACACCCTCCCCTGCCCACCACCCAGGCTGCTGGGAGCATCTGATGGGGCCCAGTAGGTGCTGCTGAGGCCCTGCAGGCCCCACGGCTTGGCCGCATGCCTGGCACTGGGTGGAGTGCCCAGAGGTGAGCTCACCCTGTCTTCAGGTGTGGGGGACAGCCGGGCCTGGACTCAGGAAGATAACACTCCGGAGGTTTCTAGAACACCCCTCCCCTCTCTCAGGCCCTCAGTCTTCTGTCCACCGAGCAGATGGCCTCTGAGGCCCTCAGGGCTACCTTCCTGGTCACCAGACATCCTGTGGGCCTGGCCTTCCTGCCCAGAACCTGAGCCAGCAGCCAACAGGAGGTGCCAGCAGCCTTTCAGAGCTTGGAAAAAACAGGAAGGGCAGGGGCGGCGCGGCCGGGGGCGGGCAGCCTGCCAGCTCTGGGAAGGTGATGCAGGGCACCGCCAAGGCTCCCCCAGGGGCAGTCCACGGTCCCAAGGTCAGGGCTCGTCCTGAGGCCGGCCTGAGCACCGCAGCCCTGTGGCTGACAGCAAGCTGAAGGACCCCAGGAAAAAGGGGGCAACCCTCCGGCACCACAGCCCCAGTCTCGCCTGCTAAGGGGGCTCCGGGTGGCGCCGAGGTGGGATCCGGGGCTCGGGTGGGTCCTGCTCCAGCTGAGGCCCAGGGATGGCTCAGGGGCCCGGGGTCCGGGCCAGCGCGGGAGTCAGGTCCTCGGCCGCCCCCTCCCACGCCCGGTTCGGTTGGGGTGGGTTTCCTCAGCGCCAGCTCGATCCCACCGCGTCCGGCTCACCTGCAACGCCGCCCCTCACCTGCCCCGCGCAGCCGCAGTGGAGGCCGCGGCCCTGCCCCCGGCCACTGACCCACCGCCCGGGATTGGCTGCCGGCCGCCCAATCAGAAGGTCCGATGCGCGGGTCCGAGTTTCCGTCGGGCGCGCCGGAAGCTGGCGCCTTTGGGGTTGCGCTTGCGCAGTGCGTCGCCGGGAGTCGGACGCGCATGGCGGACTCCGGGACGCAGGCGCCCGGGTTTCGTGAGGCAGTAGTGGTCCCGCCGGCTCGCTGAGCGCGCCCGACAGGATGCCCGAGATCAGGGTCACGCCCCTGGGTGAGTGCGGCGCGGTGCGGCGCGGCGCGGCGCGGGAGGAGCGCCCGAAAAGGCCGGTGGGAGGCTCGGAGGGCCGGGGACCCCGGGACGTGTCGTCCTTGCCGCGCGGCCCCCTGCCCGGCACCGGTGCTTAGGGCGCCTTTCTTCTGCTTCTGCATCCTCGCCACTTCCTGCCCTTCCACCTCCTCCATCTGTCTCGCGTCCCGCTTCCCTGCAGCCTCCGTTTACCCGTTTACCCGTCTGCGGTCCACCCCAAGTCAGCCCTTGTTTTACTTGACCGCCGCAGCGTTAAAAAACAAAACAAAACAAAAAAACCCTCAAAACTTTGCTTTTTGCAAAAGATGTAAGTGCACAGTTTAAAGACTCAAGCAGTACAGAACAGTGTGAAGGAGGAAAGATCACTCAGAATCAGAAACAGCTGGGGTCTCCGTGCACACGTGCCAGGGGCTTTTCGGGAACCTGCCCCCTGCCCTGGCCGTGTGTTGGAAGCATCTTCTCCTAGGGATGTCCCCCGCAGCTCCACATCCTTTCTTTTGTGGTGAGCTCTCCTCAAAATAGCCCACCCAGCCCCCAGCGTGGACACTGAGCTGTTGACAGCTGCAGTGAACACTCCTGACCCTGGCCTGCTGGGTCACAGCGCACATCCTACCCCACCAAAGGTGTCGTCACCCCCACGGCCTCTCCTAGTTGTTGGCTCCGGGTCCCCTCTGGCTGCTTCAGCCCCACTCTCTCCCCGCGCCTGGTTCTTCTCCAGGGGTCTTTGCAGGATCCTTCCAGCCTGACCCTTTCCCAGGTGACCCCTTTCTCACCACTCATTTTTTTTTTTTTAAGATTTATTTATTATTTATTTGGCTGCGTTGGGTCTTCATTGATGGGCACGGGTTTTCTCTAGTGGCGAGCAGTGTCTACTCTTGGTTTTAGTGCGCGGGCTTTTCATTGTGGTGGTTTCTCTTGTTGCGGAGCATGGGCTCTAGGCATGCGGGCTTCAGTAGTTGTGGCACACGGGCTCAGTAGTTGTGGCTCACGGGCTTAGTTGTTCTGTCACCGCTCATTCTTGAATGATTCTATCTTCTTACTGCTTCTTTTACCCCAAATCTGCACCTGGGTGTGCCCCCAAAGTCACTCAGCCACAGCACCATCAGAGCAGAACTACTTCTGTGTCACCATCTGCCTTTGCCAGTTTCTGCCTCATGACCCCCTTGGTCTCTCCCACCACAGGGCCTTTGCACAGCTGCCCCTCTCATCCCAGCTGTCCCTCTCCACCCTGCTCGGAATTCGTCTTCTCAGGCAGGGCTGGAAGTTTGTGTGCCCTTCCCTGCCTTACTTTTTCCTGAGGTGCTGATCTCCCCGAATGCAAGTTTGTCTAGGTGATTATTGTCCGTGTTCTCGGACACACACACACACCCCACCTGGAACCTAAACTCCCTGCGGCCACGTGTCTCCTTGTTTTCTTCCCACCCTCCTGTGTGTCCCAGGCTCTGTCCCCACTTCGCCTGCCCAGTTCGGGCCACTGTCTTTGCTTCCTGGGATTGTTGTGGGTGTTCCTGTTGGGAGCAGGCGGCCAGTGCCTCAGAGCTGAGCTCCGGAGTCTGGAAAACTGTCCCTGGTCCCATGCTCAGGAGCCATGTGCCGTGGGCGGATCCCGTGACTTCTGGGACTTCACATCCTCGTCCGTGAAGAGGGGTGGCCCTTCTCCCTCCCACACATGTCTGCAGTGCCTCTGAGCGGGGCATGGCTTGGGGCTGGAGGTGCAATAGGAAGCAGGCTGAGACCCTGCCCTCAGGGAGCTCACATCCTGGTGGGGGGAGCAGGCCTGTGAGAGACTTCGAGGCCACTGTCTGTGGCTGGGCTGCCTGAGGCTCACAGGTGAAGCTCGTGGCTGCTCTCACCTGCCGTTGTCACAGGTGACTGAAGCTTCTTGAAGACCAGCCGCGGCCCACTTTGGGCGGTGGCCTGGTCACCCTGGTGTGTGTGGTGCTAACAGAAGGTTCAGAAGGTTCCTTGCAGAGGGAAGCTTGTAGGATCCAAGATGAAAAATAGGTCATTTGCTGTCATCGGGCCTTGTGAGGCTGTGTCCCTTTTCTTCTGGGTGCCCAGACCCTAGAGGAGGTGACAGATGGCCGTATGAGGTGGCCGGGATATGCCCCGTTGGGCCTGGAGCATCTGGGCAGGGCTTGGAGGTCAGCACTGTGGATGAGATTCGGGTTATGGTCTGGGCTGGGGGTACCTGAGGGGGCCCAGCGGTGGGGCGTCTGTACTGTGGCCACTCTATTTGGTCATTGCTGGACAGCTAGGGCCATGTTTCCCCGTGGCTGGGCTAAAGCCACGCAGTGTCCCTCTGCAGTGGCACCACCAGGAGGTGCCTGGTGGTCACAGCTCAGATGTGGCCCCAGCTAAGGTTTTGGGAGGGGTGGTGAGGCCCCAAGGAGCCCTGGCCTGCCTCTCTTGAGTGCTGGGACCACAGTCCAGCACCCCTTACTCAGCTCCTGGCCTCAAGCCTGTGGGCCACTGCTTTGAGAGGTGAGTGGCAGGGCCCGAGGCTGGAGGCATCATGGGGAAGGGTCCAAGGTGGCCTTGGTGCTTTGTCCCCTCCCTGTGCGTTTCCCTTGCCCATGTGCAGAGGTGGCAATGCTTCTCACCTCACACCTTGTCCACACAGCAGCCACAGAGGGTTCTGCAGGGCCAGGGGCCCAGAGGGTCCTTTAGGGGTCTGGAGCAGGCGGCTGGGCCTTGGCCTTGGGGCTGGGGCCATCCCTGCAGGGGCAGTTTCGGGGAGAGGAGCGTGGTAGCACCTCTCTCCTGTCCTCCCGTGCAGGGGCTGGCCAGGACGTGGGCCGAAGCTGCATCCTGGTCTCCATTGCGGGCAAGAACGTCATGCTGGACTGCGGGATGCACATGGGCTTCAGCGACGACGTGAGTCCCTTGGGTGGGCGGCCGCCACCCAGCCTGCTCTTTGGCATCACCAACCGTGGGCCCGGGCCTCGGCGTCTCAGGCTCTGACCCACAGAGGGGGCAAGGTGGGGCACTTGCGCGGGGCCGGTCTGTACCAGATCGGGGCTCCCGGCTCAGGTACCAGCTGGGCAGCTGACCCGCTTCCTGGACGCTCCGAGGCTCTGAGCAGTTGGCGGTCTCGGTGGGCCTGCGGGGTGGGGATGTGGGGGTCAGGCTCAGCTGCACCCTAAGCCCCGGGGGCCGTGCCTGCAGCCCCAGCTGCCCCACTGGCTCCTGAGCCCCGGTGGCATCCTGACCCTTCCCCTACCCCACAGAGGCGCTTCCCCGACTTTTCTTACATCACCCGCAGCGGCCGGCTGACTGACTTCCTGGACTGCGTGATCATCAGGTGGGCGCCTTCCCCAGGACCCGCCCACCCACGCAAGTGGCGACTCTTGATACGCGTCCCCCTGAGCCCCTCCTTGTTCCTTCCTGGAGCATTAGGCTGACCCCAGAGTGACTGCGTGCTGGTGGCGCCGCTAGACGCTGGGGTGCTGAGCCCCAGGGCGACTGCGCTCCGGCCCCTTCGCTCCCTCTTGCTTTGCGGCTCTCAGGGCGGGGTGTCTGAGGCGTGCACGGCAGGCCCTCAGCGAGCGAGGGAGGGGGGACGGTAGCCCCCGTGGGGAGGTGCGGAGGGCCCTCCAGGCTGACCCGTGTTGCTTCCCCAGCCACTTCCACCTGGACCACTGCGGGGCGCTCCCCTACTTCAGCGAGATGGTGGGCTACGACGGGCCCATCTACATGACCCAGCCCACCCAGGCGATCTGCCCCATCCTGCTGGAGGACTACCGCAAGATTGCCGTGGACAAGAAGGGTGAGGCCAACTTCTTCACGTCCCAGATGATCAAGGACTGTATGAAGAAGGTGGTGGCCGTCCACCTCCACCAGACGGTGCAGGTCAGGCCCCCCACCCCCACCCCGCTGTGTTGCCGGCGGGGAGCTGCCTGGAGGCGGATGCAGCACTTGGCAGGGCCTCTGCTGCTCCCCGGCGCTGTCTGAGCGCACTGAAGAGGCGGGAGAGGGCACCTGTGCCACCTGAGCACGCCGGGGCTGAGGCGGGGGGGCAGGCTGGGCGGGACGCCGACCGGAGTGTGGGCTGTGGCTCAGTGGCAGTTGTCCGCGGGCCAGCGAGGAGGCAGGAAAGTGATATCAGATGTGGAGAAATTTATCCCGCGGCTCGCGGAGTTGTCTGCTTTTCCTCAGAGTCTGGGTTTTGCTTGTTACCACGTGTCTAGCATTTGGGGTCGTCTTATCCTGGTTGAACCTTTTGTCAAGATGAAGTAGTGCATTTCTCCTCAAGAACGCTCTTACCTTTGAGTCCACCTTTCTGGTGAACGGGTCACCGTTCCCCCTCCCCCACCTTTAGTTAGCGTTTGCACGGGGCATCCTTTCCCATCTTTGTACTTTCTTTCTGCATCATGTTTTAAGTAGTTTGGGTTTAATCCAGCCTGATAGCCGGTCCTGTAGGTGGAGGGTTTGGACTGTACGGGTAATAGTTTGGGATTTAGCTGTATCCTCTTACCATTTGCTTCTTATTTGTGCTGCCTGTTCTATGCTTTATTTCCTTTATTGCCTTTTTCTGGATTGACTTTTAAAAACTCTATTTCTCCTCTTATTTGGTAAGTAATTAAATATTGTTTTATAATTTTTGTAGTGGTAGAGATTACAAAACACATCCATGACAACAGAGCTCTAAGGTACTTGGAACTTTTGCCTCTTTCCGGGACGGTGCAAGAGCCTCAGAGCACCTCAAATGCATTTACTCCTCCCTTGACTCACTGGCTCTTGTTTCCATGTATTTTAATTCCCTCAGCGTGCGAGACCCCTGGGACCTCACCGCTGATGCTGGTAAAGTCAGATTTGCCGGGCGCCGTCTCTGTTTGCCTTTCCCACTGTTCCCCTCTACTGCCTGTGTTCTTCACTTTGTATTTGGGATGAAGAACACCATTGTGGGTCTGCTGGTGATGAATGCTCTCAAATTTTATTTGTCTGCAAATGTTGAAGACTTTTCACCTTAGGTTTGGAATTCTGGGGCAGCATTTACTATCAGTATTTTGAATGTGTCTTCCCATCTGCTGTTTGGAAGAGAATCTTTTCTTTGGCTGCTTGTGGGATTATGTCCTTTCCTGTGGACTTTGGAGGGATGCTATGCTGGCCCCACCTGTTCTCGTCCTGTTGCGCCTGCTCAGGTTTGAGGCCTCCGGGTCTGCCCATTGCTCTCTCCAGGCTGAATGTAGGTCTTCCTTCTCCAGAGCCTTCATTGTCCTTTTATTTTTCTGTGCTTCATGCTGGATAGTCTCTACTAGATATTTTAGTTCATTAAGTCTCTTTTTGGTTATATGTAAGTGGTTGTTAGATTTGTTGAAATTTTTTGATATATAATTGATTTACAATATTATATATTATAGGTGGACAACATAGTGATTCAGAGGTTTCAAAAGTTATGCTCCATTTATAGTAACTATAAAATATTGGCTATATTCCCTGTAGTACAGTATATCCTCGTAGCTTATTTTGTGTGTAATAGCTTGTATCTCTTAATCCCCCACCTCTGTCTTGCCTTTCCTCTCTTCCTTCTCACCACTTGTAGTTTGTTCTCTACGTCTGTGATTCTGTTTCCTTTTTGTTACATTCACTAGTTTGTTGTATTTTTTAGATTTCACAAATAAGTGATATCATACAGTATTTGTCTTTCTGTCTGACTTATTTCACTTAGCATAATACCCTCCAAGTCCATCCATGTTGCTGTAAATGGCAAGATTTCATTTTTTTTAATGGCTGAGTAGTATTCCATTGTATATGTGTACCACAGCTTCCTTTTTATTTTTTAAGATTTTTTTTTGACATGGACCATTTTTAAAGTCTTTATTGAATTTGTTACAATATTGCTTCTGTTTTTTACGGTTTTTGGTTCTTTAGCCACGAGGCATGTGGGATCTTAGCTCCCCGACCAGGGATCAAACCTGCACCCCCTGCACTGGAAGGTGAAGTCTTAACCACTGGACCTCCAGGGAAGTCCCTTTTTCTCCCTCCCCCGCCCCAGCTGTGCTGGGTCTTTGTTGCTCCATGCGGGTTTTTCCCAGTTGTGGTGAGTTGGGCTACTCTTCAGTGCGGTGCGTGGGCTTCTCATTGCAGGGGCTTCTCTTGTTACGGAGCACAGGCTCTAGGCACGTGGGCTCAGTAGCTGTGGCTCGCAGGCTCAGTAGTTGTGGCGCATGGGCTTAAGTTGCTCTGCGGCATGTGGGATCTTCCTGGACCAGGGATCGAACCCATGTCCCCTGCATTGGCAGGTGGATCCTTAACCACTGGACCACCAGGGAAGTCCTTGTACCACATCTTGTTTATCCATTCATTTGTTGATGGGCATTTAGGTTGCTTCCATATCTTGGCTATCGTAAATAGCACTGCAGTGAACGTTGGGGTCTATTTATCTTTTCGAATAATGGTTTTCTCCGGATATATGCCCAGGAGTAGGGTTGCAGGATTATATGGCAACTCTATTTTTAGTTTTTTGAGGAATCTCCATGTTGTTCTCCGAAGTGGCTGCACCATTTTACATTCCCACCAACAGTGTAGGACGGTTCCCTTTTCTCCACATCCTCTCCAGCGTTTATTATTTGTAGATGACCATTTTGACCAGTGTGAGGTGGTACCTCATTGTTTTTATTTTTAATTTTTTTAAACTTATTTATTTATTTTATTTTTGGCTGCTTTGGGTTTTCATTGCTGCGCACGGGTTTTCTCTAGTTGCGGCGAGTGGGGGCTACTTTTCGTTGAGGTGCGCAGGCCTTTCATTACCATGGCTTCTCGTTGTGGAGCATGGGCTCTAGGCACATGGGTTTCAGTAGTTGTGGCACGTGGGCTCAGTAGTTGTGGCTCACGGGCTCTAGAGCGCAGGCTCAGTAGTTGTGGCGCATGGGCTTAGTTGCCCCACGGCATGTGGGATCTTCCCGGACCAGGGCTCGAACCCATGTCCCCTGCATTGGCAGGCGGATTCTTAACCACTGAGCCACCAGAGAAGCCCCCCTCATTATAGTATTGATTTGCATTTCTCTGTTTTTAAAAAAGTATATTTTATTTATTTATTTATTTATTTGGTTGTTCCTGGTCTTAGTCGTGGCCAGTGGGCTCCTTAGATGTGGCTCGCCTGCTCCTTAGTTGCAGCACATGTGCTCCTTAGTTGTGGCCTGTGGGCTCCTTAGTTGTGGCATGCAAACTGTTAGTTGCAGCATGCATGTGGGGTCTAGTTCCCTGATCAGGGATCGAACCCAGGCCCCCTGCATTGGGAGCTCGGATTCTTAACCACTGTGCCATCAGAGAAGTCCCTGCATTTCTGTATTAATTAGTGGTGTTGAGCGTCTTTTCATGTGCCTCTTGGCCATCTGTATGTCTGTTTAGATCTTCCTTCCGTTTTTTGACTGGGTTGTTTGTTTTTTTTTGATATTGTGCTGCATGAGCTGTTTGTATATTTTGGAGATTAATATTCTTTTGGTTGTATCATATGCAGATGTTTTCTCCTATTCTGTAGGCTGTCTTTTTGTTTTGTTTATGGTTTCCTTTGCTGTGTAAAAGTTTGTTTTGTTTTGTTTTTTAATAACAGAGATTCCTTTTTCTTTAAATTAATTAACTAATTAACTTATTTACTTGGTTGTGCCGGGTCTTAGTTGTGGCAGGCGGGCTCCTTAGTTGCAGCTCACCAGCTCCTTAGTTGTGGCGTGTGAACTCTTAGTTGTGGCATGTGTGGGGGATCTAGTTCCCTGACCAGGGATCGAAGCCGGTTCCCCTGCGTTGGGAGCACGGAGTCTTAACCACTGTGCCACCAGGGAAGTCCCTGTGCAAAAGCTTTTAATTTAATTAGGTTCTATTTTTTTGTTTTTATTTCCATTATGTAGGAGGCGGATCCAAAAAAAATACTGTTGCTATTTATGTCAGAGTGTTCTGCCTATGTTTTCTTCTAGGAATTTTATAGTATTTGGTCTTACATTTAGGTCTTTAATCCATTTTGAGTTTATTTTTGTGTATGGTGTTAGAGAATGTTCTAATTTCATTCTTTTATATGTAGCTGTCCAGTTTTCCCAGCACTATTTATTGAAGAGACTGTCTTTTCTCCATTGTATATTCTTGCCTCTTTTGTCATAGATTAATTGACCGTAGATGCATGGATTTATTCCTGGGCTTTCTGTCCTGTTCCATTGATCTATATTTCTGTTTTTGTGCCAGTACCATTTTTGATTCCTGGAGCTTTGTAGTATACTCTGAAGTTAGGGAGCCTGATTGCTCCAGCTCCGACTTTCTTTACCATGCAGTTTTGATGACTGCAGCTTTGTAGTATAAAGTCAGGGAGTGTGATTCTTTCAGCTCTGTTCTTTGTTAGGATTCTTGTGGCTATTTGGCGTCTTTTGTGTTTCCACACAAATTTTAAAATTATTTGTTTCAGTTTTGTGAAAAATGCCACTGGTGTTTTGATAAGGATTACATTGAATATGTAGATTACCTGGGATAGTATGGCTCTTTTGAATCCTTAACTTGGGTTATTATAGTTCCTGGTTTTACAATTTCCACTGTTTTTAATAGTTTCTAGTTTTTTGCCAACATTCTTAATTCTTTCTCTCTCTGAATATTTTAATCACAATCCTTTTAAAGCCTGTGTCTGAAAACTCTAGGAGCCCTGAATCTGTTTCTCTGGACTGTTGTTCCTCTTCTTTCTGGCCCTATTGTCTTATCTCTTGTGTCTGCTTTTTTTTTTTTTTTTTTTTTGCGGTACGCGGGCCTCTCACTGTTGTGGCTTCTCCTGTTGCGGAGCACAGGCTCCGGACGTGCAGGCTCAGTGGCCATGGCTCACGGGCCCAGCTGCTCCACGGCACGTGGTATCCTCCCGGACCGGGGCACGAACCAGTGTCCCCTGCGTTGGCAGGCGGACTCTCAACCACTGTGCCACCAGGGAAGCCCTTGTGTCTGCTTTTGATTGAGAACTGGATGTCGTGTATGAAAAAACAGGGATGATGAAAGGCTAGAATGATGTCATCAACTTGCGCCCACTACTGCCCCAGGCTCCACCTCCCTGCCCCTCTGCCCTCTGCCCGGCACAGCCAGCAGACCTGAGGTCAGCCCTCTTCTCTGTAGGTGGACGATGAGCTGGAAATCAAGGCTTACTATGCGGGCCACGTGCTGGGGGCGGCCATGTTCCAGATTAAAGTGGGCTCAGAGTCTGTGGTCTACACGGTCAGTGGAAGCACTTGGGGCACAGGAAGGGCTGGCTGGCTGGGCAGAGGAAGGAGGCACCCTCCTCATTGCCACATTCTTTGCTAGGGGGATTATAACATGACCCCAGACCGGCATTTGGGGTAAGTAGGCCAGTACGTTTGTTTCATCCTATTGGGCGGGTCCCCCTGGGGGACAGGGTCCCTGAGGGGTGTGCTGGGTTCCCGAGCAGTCTGCATGTCATTGTCCTTGGATGTTCTGTCCCCTCAAGTGCTGCCTGTGCAGAGGAGGCAGGCTGCCTGCTAGAGGGTCCAGGAGGGCCATGGCTGTGTACAGCCTTGCCACTGTGTGGCCTGTCCACCTCTGGCCACACCCACCTGTGTTCTAGAGCTGCCTGGATTGACAAATGCCGGCCCAACCTCCTGATCACAGAATCCACGTACGCCACCACCATCCGAGACTCGAAGCGCTGCCGGGAGCGAGACTTCCTAAAGAAGGTCCATGAGACCGTGGAGCGTGGCGGGAAGGTAGCTGGTGGGCAGCGGGTGCCCCAGGTGGGGCTGGCTGTGTGCCTCTGGCCATGCTACACAGGTCTTTCGGCTGACCTGGCATGCGGTCAGGGATAGGGGTGCTGTGTTCTGGGCACAGAGAGAGGAAGGTTTGCTCAGCACTGGGAAGACAGATTCCCCCAAAGACCCTTTAGTGGGGCTCACCTACTCCTCATGACTCAGATCCCAATGCAGGGCTGGCCAGAGTGTCCACCATGGTCACTTTGGGACAGGCTGTGCTGGGACAGAATGGGGGGGGCTGCCGGCAGTCTGCATGGGGCCTCCGGCCATCAGAGCTGTTGGCAGGGCTGGTCTCCTGAGAAGGTGGCCACAGGAGCAACTGTTGGCCTCTGCACAGCTGTGGGCTCGGTGGCCAGGCGGCGCAGCCAGGGGTTCCTCCCGAGCTGGCCTCCCACCCCCACCCCCACCCCACCTGCAGGTGCTGATCCCCGTGTTTGCGCTGGGCCGTGCTCAGGAGCTCTGCATCCTGCTCGAGACCTTCTGGTAGGTGTGGCCACGATGGTTTCTGGAGGCCCGGCCCTGCTGGCCGTGGGGTGAGAGAGGGCGGGGAGCGCCCTTCCTGGCACTGGACCCAACCCAGGCTGAGGGCACATGGGGGCTGCAGGCCAGCCCTGCCCCTGCAGCCTCCCCACCAGCCCCGTCCTCCACAGGGAGCGCATGGACCTGAAGGCCCCCATCTACTTCTCCACGGGCCTGACGGAGAAGGCCAACCACTACTACAAGCTCTTCATCCCCTGGACCAACCAGAAGATCCGGAAGACCTTTGTGCAGAGGAACATGTTTGAGTTCAAGCACATCAAGGCCTTCGATCGGGCATTTGCCGACAGCCCGGGTCCCATGGTGCGGCCCATTGCCGGCTGGGGTGGGGTTCTGCTGGGCCGGGGCCCTGCCGGCAAGTCGCGCAAGGGAGCGGGGCGCCTCTGTGCCGGGAAGACCAGCGGTCAGAAGGCTGAGGGCAGGGGGGCATCTTACGCCCTGACTGTCCCACACCTGCCCCGAAGGTCGTGTTTGCCACACCAGGGATGCTGCATGCCGGCCAGTCCCTACAGATCTTCAGGAAGTGGGCAGGGAACGAGAAGAACATGGTGAGGGGTCTGGGCCCCAGGACCGGTTCCCTGGAGGGCTGGCGAGGTTGAGGGGCAGGGGCTCCCCCTGGCTGGGGGGACACTGTTGCTGTCAGGAGGAGGCGGCAGCTTGGTACCCTGGGCATCGGTGTCTGACCCAGGCTCAGACTCTTGCTGTGTCTTGGCCTGTCTGCACCAGGCAAGAAAGCCCCCGGCTTCCCAAGTAGCCATCATGGGGGTCAGGCCTGGGCGGGCTTGTGCTGAGACCCCTGAGCCTGCCTGGGTCTGCAGTGGGCCCTGGAAGGGGGAGGGGCCTCCACCAAGGGTTTGGGTTCAGGTGGGCAGAGGGGCGGGTGGGAGAACATCCCGGGAGGAAGCCCTGAGGTAGGAGGCAGGAGGTGCAGGGGAGCTGCTCGTCCATCCCTCCCTCCTGCAGGTCATCATGCCCGGCTACTGCGTGCAGGGCACCGTGGGCCACAAGATCCTCAGCGGGCAGCGCAAGCTGGAGATGGAGGGGCGGCAGGTGGTGAGTCCTCACCCTCTCTCACCAGCTCTGTGGACCCTCTTGTGGCGGGGGGGGGGGGGGGCGGCCCTGGGAGCCACCACCTGTGCTGATGGCTTGCCTGCTGTGATGCCGCAGCTGGAGGTCAAGATGCAGGTGGAGTACATGTCCTTCAGCGCCCACGCGGACGCCAAGGGCATCATGCAGCTGGTGGGTCAGGCGGAGCCGGAGAACGTGCTCTTGGTGCATGGCGAGGCCAAGAAGATGGAGTTTCTGAAGCAGAAGATCGAGCAGGAATTCCGTAGGCAGCCCAGGCCAGGGCGGGCTGGGTGACACGGAGGGTATGCGGGCTGGGTCGGTGCAGGCAGGGCCCGCCAGTCTGGACTAAGGTTCTCTCCACACCCCGGCCCAGGGGTCAGCTGCTACATGCCGGCCAACGGCGAGACGGTGACGCTGCCCACGAGCCCCAGCATCCCCGTGGGCATCTCACTGGGGCTGCTGAAGCGGGAGATGGCACAGGGTGAGCGGCAGGGCCCATTGAGCGGGGGCGGGGCAGCTGCTGGGCAGGTGGCCCCACTGACAGCTCTGACCGCTGCCCCTGCCCCACAGGGCTGCTCCCTGACTCCAAGAAGCCCCGGCTCTTGCATGGCACCCTGATCATGAAGGACAGTGTGAGTGCCAGCCATCACTGGGGGCGGTGGGGTCCGCCCTCGCCGTCCCTGACCTGCCCTTGCCCCACAGAACTTCCGGCTCGTGTCCTCAGAGCAGGCCCTCAAGGAGCTGGGCCTGGCCGAGCACCAGCTGCGCTTTACCTGCCGTGTGCACCTGCACGACACGCGCAAAGAGCAGGAGACAGCCGTGCGCGTGTACAGCCACCTGAAGAGGTAGACGCTGCGGCCGCGCCTTCTGGACCTGGGGGGCGGGGCGCCAGCGGGGGCGCCAGGCAGGGGCTCACTGTGCCTCCCCGCAGCGTCCTCAAGGACCACTGCGTGCAACACCTTCCTGACGGCTCCGTGACCGTGGAGTCCATCCTCATTCAGGCCGCTGCCCACTCAGAGGACCCAGGCACCAAGGTGCTGCTGGTCTCCTGGACCTACCAGGTAAGGTGCGGGACTGGTGGGGTCACCCAGTCACCCTGGGCTGCCTCACCGGGACCAATGGCCCCTCTTGCCTGTGGCTGCAGGACGAGGAGCTGGGAAGCTACCTCACGTCTCTGCTCAAGAAGGGCCTGCCCCAGGCCAGCTGAGGCCCCGCCGCCAGGACTGTGTGCACCCTGGGTCTTCCCTGTGTCCTCGGATGTGGAGCCCACAGCTGGCTACGACCCTCATCTGTGCAGAGACCACAGTGCCACCACGCCCCTGCCCGAGTGGCTGCTTTTGGCCGAAGAAAGAAACGGACCTGGGGGGCTTTTCACCTTTTATTTCTGCTCCTGGGCTCCCAGGAGATGGGGGGGGGGGCGCTCCCGGGGTGTTGATTTCCAGTAAAAACAACCACAGGCTGTTTGGGTGTCTCGTTTTCCGGTGCTTGCGCCTGTCTCCTACACCCCACTTCTGGCAGCCCACCCGGGGCAGGCGGGGACTTGTGGCAGGTCCAGGCTGACAGGCGTGGGGCCTGCCGTGGTCCCTGTGTGATGCACCGTGGTGTACAGAGCTGGGCAGCGTCCAGCAGCTGGGCCTAGTGTGCTACGGCTGCCCTGACCTTGCTGCGTGTCAGGGGTCACGTGTGACCTCTGTGCTGTGGACTCTGAGGGCACACAGAGGCAGGACCTGTGAACAGACCCCAGGTCATCCTGGGGGCGTGACAGTCTCTGCAGGGGCCAGGCCAGAGCCTTCAGCAGGACTGCAGAGCCCCCTGCCTTCGCCCCAGAGTTCAAGCTCCTCTCTACCCTCTGCTGCCTTCTAGAATGCTCTCTCAGCCTCCCTCCCCACAGGGCCAGGCTGGGGCTTGGGCTGCTGGGCTCTGGCTTTCCTCTTGGGCACAGGCTGGAGTCCCAGCTGCTGGGACAGCATTGCCACTGAGAGCCCCTCCCACGGCAAGGACTCAGCCTTGGGAGGGGTCCGTCAGTCAATGGGGTACAAGCAGGGACCGCTCCATGCCGCTTCTTACCGAAGCCCTCGTAGAGCACCGCCTTCAGGAACAAGCCGTGGGCGGGAGCCACACGGCTCTGGTGCCTGCCCAGGGGGTCCTGGCTCTCCAGAATCATCTTCACCTGAGCAGGCATCAAAGCCCCCAGCCCCACGGCCACCAGCACAGATGTCATTCTCCGCACCTGTGACCCAAGGTGAAGAGTGCTGCAGCCGCCCGAGCCCCAGGCTCCACCCCCGGCAGGGCCCCAGGACACAGCCCACCTGTCTGTATAGGAAGGACTGGCTCTCAAACTCCAGGCTCCAGAACCGCAACCGTCTGGGGACACAGGTGCCCATGAGGTCTGGGCCTCAGGGCAGCCTCGACCCTCCAGTGTGGCCTCCCCGCGTCCCACCCCAGGGGCCCCCACCTACTCCCCGCCAACCCCTTGTAAATGAAACTGGCGGAAGGGAGACTAAAGCCAGAGGACTGCTGCTTGTGAGCGGGGACAGCAGCGCCTCCGGGGTCTTGGCTGCAGGAGGAGGCCTTGGGCTTGGGGGCTGCGAAGGAGGTGGAGCGGCCAGCTTCTCTCCCAGGGACTCAAGCCCTGGGGCTTGGGCTCTCCAGCAGGAGTTGGAGGCTTGGAAGCTGGCTGTGCAAAGTCCCTCCTCCCTTCAGTGCTGGGCCCAAGTGGGAAGGCTCTGGAAGTCAGTAGCTGCGGTCTGGCCAGAGGCCCCTGGGCCAGTGCTGGGGGCAGTGGAACCAACCCCCTGCCAGCCTGGGCCCGAACGAACCACTGGCTTGGTGCTTCTCCCCCAGTGGAGTCTTTTCACCGACCGCCGGGATCCATCCACGAGGCAGTGAGCTCTGGCAGGTTAGGCAGCCTTCTCTGCCCTCTGCCCCCCAGCCTGGCAGGACCCTAGCCCAGGGGAGGGCACAGCTGCAGGCTCACGGGTGTTGGGGCCACACCACTTGGCTGACTGGCACCTCCTTCTCCCCCAAGGCTGGACGGGTGCCCAGGGAGCCCCCAGTGCAGCAACAGGGAAGGTGCTGGAGCTAAATCCAGCCTTTGCAGCCTCCAGACCAGAGTGTAGGCTGCCCTTCTCACCTGCTCTCCTCGGGGAGGACAAAGGGGCTGCTGGCAGGGTCGGGGGACACAGAGGCTCGGCGCAGGGTGCGCACCGGGCTGGTGGCCGGGCTGCCAGCCGACTGGAAGGCCCTGAAATCATGTGTCCCCAGGAGGTGCTGGGCGGCCTCCCGCATGGCAGCGACGTCCAAGCAGCTGCAGGGAGCCAGGTGAGTGGTCAGGAGCGAATGGCCGGCCAGGCGAGCCTGGCAAAACCCTCAGGGTCACTTTCACACCCACTCACTCAGCCCGAAGCGCCCAGCACCGGTTTCGTTCAAACACGGGCAGCTGGTCAGGCCTGTGGCAGCCAGTAGCCAGACGGTACAGGTAGGTCCTGGACGTGGCTGCGTGGCGGGCATGGAAGTGGCTGGGCACACGGAAGGCCTGCAGTACCCTGTGGGAACGAGGCCAGGAATGACCCCCTGCCCTGTCCATGTGACACCCTGGCATCTCTGCCATCACCCCCAAGGAGTCCTGTCCAGATACAGAGTCCTTCTTCACCTCCCGCCTCCACCATAATGGACGAGTTCCGGGAGAGCAGAGAGGTGCTCACCGGATGGCCGGGTGCCTCAGGTGGGTGTTGAGGGCTTGCGTCAGGACTTCAGGGGAGAAGGGGGGCCGGCCTGAGCGGCGCTGGACGTCCAGGTGCGCCGCGTTGCTCAGGGCATGGACCCCAGCATCCGTGCGGCTGGAGATTGTGAACTTTGCCGGCACCACCGAGTTCAGCCGCTCTGCGGCCTCCTGAGGGGGGCGGGGAGCGCACAGCGGCCGCGGGCGGGGCTCCCATCTGCCCCACCCCCGGGTCGCCCTCCTCCCTCACCCCTCCCTGGCGCGGGCCGGCGGAGCTCACCTCCAGGTAGTTCTGGACTCCGATGGCGTGCTGGGCGCCCCTGACTGCCGCGACCCCGCTGTGGGCAGGGCGGGCGGAGGTTAGCGCGCGAGGCCGCCCCGCCCCGGACCCCGCCCGTCCCATCTTATGCGGCCAAAGGCGGCCGTTCCATGCCCGGGAGGCCGGGGCCCGAGGCCGGAGGTGTGGGCCCTAAACTTAGCTCCCTCCAACCCCTCGGGCGCCGGCCGTCGGCTGCTCTCCGGCTCGAGCTCGGGTGCTTCCCGCGGGGCCGAGCTACATGAGGGGGTTGCGGGCACGGGTGGGAGGCCTAGATGACGTACTTAAAGTCCGTGCCCAAGTACTGGAAGTACACGAGGTAGCGCGCCCGCACTGAGCCCGCGCCCATGGCCAGGCCGGACCCGGCTTTGGGGCAGGCGGAGGGCCAGGCGGAACCGGACCCCGCGGAGCGGCAGGCGGACTGGGACGGCACGTGGGGCTGCGCCCGCGCGCGCCCGCGAACCCAGCCTGGTCACGCCCCCGGGCCAATCCCGCGCCTGCGCCTGGGCTTTCGCCCCGCCCAGGCAGCCTCGGTTGGCCGCCCAGGGCGGGGGCGGAGGCGGGGCAGACTTAGGGAGCGGGTGCAAAGTGCCGACCCAGGCGAGACAGCCCCACGCAGACTCTCACGTTCCGCCGGCCACACACTGGCCCGCAACCCCATCCTCCCGCCGCAGTCCGGCCGAGCGCTTGTTGCCAATTCCCCGGGTTGCCTAACGGCCGGATCGCTGGAACGCGCGGGGCCTGACGGCTCCCGCGGCTGTTTCTGGGCCCACCCACACTTCCGACCGCCTGCCCGGACGAAGGGGGCGGGACGTCGGGGCGTTTGGCGACGCTCCCCGGCGGTGACAGCGGGCGGCGAGCGCGGGCGGCGGACTTTGGCGACGCTCCCCGGCGGTGACAGCGGGCGGCGCGCGCGGGCGGCGGACTTTGGCGACGCTCCCCAGCGGTGACAGGCGGGGCGGGGCGGTGGCGCGGCGGCCTCGTTCCGGGGCGGGCGGGCGCCGAGCGCGGCGCGGCGCAGGCGGGCGGGCCGGCAGGGGATGCCGCTCGGGGCGCCGCGGTCCTCGTGCCAGTGAGCGCCTCGCGCCGCCGCAGCCATGACGGTGGAGTTCGAGGAGTGCATCAAGGACTCGCCGCGCTTCAGGTGCGCCCCCGGGGCGCGGCGCGGCCCTTTGTGATCCGCGGGGTCGCCGCCCCTCGGGGCACCCGGGGCCGCCGGGGGATGGGCGCGGGCGGGGGCGCCGGTGCCACCTTTGTGCCCGGCGCCGGGGCCAGAGGCGAGAGCAGGAGGACACGTCTTGTACAAAGCCCGCAGCGCCCCGGCCCGAGAGCCCGGAACAAAAGATGCCCCTTGTGCTGGTCGCCGCGCGCGGAGGGTGCGCGCGTGGGGCGGGGCGGCCGCCGGCGCGGCCACCTCTCCGTGGGAGTGTCCGCCCCGCTTTGTGTCTGCACCTTCGTGCTGGCCACCTGCACAGGGCTGAGACCTAGCCGGGCGCTGCAGCCCGGCTGTGGCCAGGGTCGTTTGCGTGCGTGGGGCGTCTGCCCATGGAATCTGTCTTGGTCCTCGTGCCCAGAGCAGTCAAGGGGGCAGGCAGCTGGAGCCTCGGTTAGGGCCTCGGGCGGCTGCTTGGCAGGGGTGACCTAGGCACCTGGCAGGGTGGGCGCTACCAGAGCAGACTGGGTTCCAGGGACTGGTGGAGGTCTGCGCTGTGGCCGGCCCTGGGTTTGTGCTTTTAGTCCTTCCTGGGAGTGCAGGCGGGCTTATCCGTGTGAACATGTTCATGGTGCGCGCGCATCTGCTTTAACGGGGCACCTCCCGTGTGTCAGGTGCTCATGCTTGTGCTCGTGCTCGGGTGCACACGTGTGAGTTCTGCCCCTCTGCACCCTCCCTTGAGGTGCCAGACCTTGGACGTGTATGTGTGGGTGAGCTGTGCACCCCTGGACTGGCTGCTTGATGCGTGCGTCCAGACTAGTGCTGGGTGCACGCACACGTGTGCATGTGTCACCTCTGTGTGTGAATACAGATGCATAGTGGGTGTGTATCATAAAAGCGTGAGTTTAGGCACTAAGCATACGCTAGTTTCTTCCTGTGTGCATCTCAGTACGGGGTGCGTGTCTATACACGGTATCCGCGAGTGCACCCTTTTGCGTGTGCGTTGCGCTGCTGCGTGCATGCATGTTTGATGGCACGTGTGCATATCTGCCACGCCTCTGCACACACGCACTTGGCTGTGCGCGAGTGTGCGCGCGCGTGCGCTGGGTCTTTGGGGTGTGTTAGCCAGAGGGCCTGTGTGTGGGTGTCTGGAGGGCCTCAGCATCAGTACCCTTACCCCCGACTCCCTAGAGCCAGCCCCTTGCCCAACCGCCACACAAGGGGTCAGCAACAAAGGCCAAGAAAGGCTGGATGAGGGGTAGGGGTCGGACCAGAGAGTGGCCCCAGGCCCCGGGCAGAGTGCTGAGGGCCACCCTCTGTGTTCTCCCATCTTCTGTTCCTGACTGCTTGAGGGAGGGGTGTAAGCGACTCGGCACCCGTGATCCTGGGCCCCCAGCACGGCCCAGGCGGCGGGCGGAGGTGTAGCCAGGGCCGCAGCAGGGGGCCTGGTCCTGGCCGAAGCACCGCAGCGTCACCCTGGCCCCCGGCTGCGGAGCCTCGTGCTCCCCCTCCCGTCGCGGAGGGGCCCAGGCCCAGCTTGCCCGGTTGGATCAGGGCCGCTGGCACCCCGTTCACCTCCAGGCCTTCCCTCCCACACCAGCCTGCTCGCTGGTGGCACCCACGGTGCGGCAGTGGGTGCAGCAGCGCCTGGGCTTTGCCAGGCTTCCTTGGAGGGTGCCCAGCCGAGACCGGGCCGGGGTCCAAGGAGATCCCCCGACCTTGGGCCACAGAAGCTGCACTGGGTGGGTTTTGGTTGGGCTGAGATGTGATGGCTTTTGAGGCTTTTCTGGGGTCCCCTTGTCAGTGCCGCTGAGGATGTAACCTGGACTTCCTGGAGGCCAGCCTGGGGGCAGGGGGTTAGGGCGGGGCCAGGCAGGAGAGTGTGGTCAGCGATGGGAGCCCCAGCCCTGGGAAGGGGGACCCTGCCTACGCGCTCTTGGCCTGGGGAAGCCCCACAGCCCCGGGATGCACGTGGCTGGAGGGGTCCAGACTCTCTCAGACCGGCGGGGTGCCGCTCACCCCTTGTTTTTGGTGCCCCCTCCCCGGGGTGGGGCTTCAGGCGCTGAGTCATGGCTCTGGTGGGGGAGCTGGCCTCACCCTCTTCCCCAGCATCCAAGCTGTTGAGGAAATCCTGGAGGGAGAGCAGGAGAGGAGGCCTTGGTCCATGGGGGTGGGGAGGAGAGACCTGAGGGGCGTGGGGCCCCCGGGACGGACTGTCTGCTGAGCACCCACCTTGTCCCCATGAGCACACTTGTCAGCCTCTGGTGCATCCCACCCTCACCAGCTTTCTAGGGACAAACCCCCCATCCCAGCCCAAGGGTGACAGCTCTCCACACAGCTGGCCAGGGCAGTTGGGGCGGCTGAGCCTCATCCCCCTCTTCTGGGTGGGTGGTCCTTCCCTGCCCTGGGACCCTCGGAGGGGGAGGGGGAGGGGAGGCTACAGCAGCCGTCAGGGTCCTGCAGTCTCAGGCGGGGGCACCTGCAGGCCGTGGGCCACCACCAGTCCAAGCGGATGTCCCCTCTGACCCCTTCCTTCTCTGGAACTCAGACGCCCCTCAGCCCGTGGGGAAGGGATAGGGGCTGCTCAGAGAGGAGGAGGGTGGTGGGACGGTCCAAGGGTCCTGACGGGGCAGCCTGGCACTCACCCCATACCTCCTAATTGAGGGCGTCCCGAGCTGCACCCCGCATGAGGGACTGTCCCTCCCCCCAGGCCTGGGAAAGCCTGGAACACGCCCCTCCTCTGCCAGCTGGGGGGCAGCGAGGGGCCAGCGACGGGCCGCTAGACCTGGACCGCCTCCTCTGCCTGGCCCTGCCCTGGCCCTGGCCGGAGCTCCTTCCCTGTTGTCCCTGGTCCCCCGGAGGCCAGATGGGCCCAGCTCGCCAGCTGAGTGGGGCGGGGAGGGCAGGATCCTGGCCCTATTTCCCTATTTCCTGTTCCCGGAGTGTTGGGGGTTGTCACGTGCCTGATCCATCTGCCTCTCGCCTTGCCTTCCGGGATTCTCCGTCCACTGGTTTCTCTGGTGATGTCAGACGTTAACTCTTCCCTCCCCAAGGCAGCCCCATTGGCAGGCCGCGCCCGTGGGAGTGGGCTCCTCCGGGGTCTGGCCCACTGCTCCTGCCAGGCAGACGAGGCCTACCTGGTATTCTGAGCTTGGGGAGCAGGCAGGAGGTAGGGGCACGCCTCTGCAGGCATCTCTCGGGGCCGCAGAGCTGCTGAGACAGGTCTGCCCCGGGGCCTGCCAGCCCCAGGCCGGGGTGGGCTGCAGCAGAAGCTGAGGGGTGGGGGGGTTCAGATGGGGTTCGGGGTCAACCCTGAGCCCTGGAGAGGTGCAGGGGCTGGGCCGGGGGGGGGTGACCAGCGAGGCCCTGCATGTGCACCTCCACGGGACCCTGGCCGCTCCCTCTGTGCTAGGGATCTGTCTGACCACCCCCTTCCCCCCCACCCCCGCCCGTCCACAGACCCCAGATGGGGGCGTCACAGCCAACTGGGCCTCTATGTGCCTGGGGTGGCAGTGGGCCCTGGTGGCTCTGCGGCTCTGGAGTCACGGTCCCAGTCCTGCCCCCTCTCCCCCTCCCTCTTCCATCCCCCCTCACCGCCACCCTCCACCTCCTGGTCTGTCTGAGGGACGTGTGGAGGCAGGTGGGCCTGCAGGAGCCAGTGGCCATCGGCAGAGTAGCCCCTTCCCACTGCTGACCACTTTGGGGAGGTGCCTGGGAGACGAGGCCGAGCTGAGTCAGTGGGGGAGGCTCGCTGCAGGTGGGTCTCCAGCCACCCTGTCCCTGTCGCAGGGCAACTATCGACGAGGTGGAAACGGACGTGGTTGAGATCGAGGCCAAACTGGACAAGGTGAGGGGGGCCTGGGGGCACACGGAGGGCCCGCGGCTACTCTCCCTGTCCCCCACGCGGCCCTGGCCCAGCTCACCCATAGCCACCAGTGTGAGCGCGAGTATGCGTGTGCACAGCACGTGGGCCTGTCCATCACCGGCCTGTCACACCCATACCGGGGTGTACATCCCACACACACCTGTGTCTGCCGGGTCTCCTCCCGCCAAGCCAAGCAGGGTGGGGGACCTTGGCGGGGGGCGGGGGCAGCTGCCGGGGGCTGTGCCTCCGAGTGCCTGGGTTAGGGGCCAAGGGCACAGGCTTCAAAGCCAGAGGGAGGAAGGAGAGGTGGCACCCCTGAGCCCCTCGCTGGCTGGGTTCTGCTGACCCTTGTCCAGGACCACATGCCCCCCCCGGCCCTGGGTTCCCTGCTCCTGGCTTCCCTCCCACCTCCCACCCTGGAGCCGAGGCCTGGGGCACGTCAAGCTGTCCCCCAGTGCCAGGTGGGCTCAGGAGGGTGGGCGGGCGGCCGGGCAGTGGCCTTCCCTTCCCGCCCGGGGCTGCTCGGGGGCAGCTGTGTCCTGGGCACTGACGGACCCGACCCTGAGCTGAATTCCGGCTGCCCTGTCTGGGTCCCTGCCCGTGTGTCCTGGCCTCTTGGTGGCGTGAGGGTTGCCCCATCCGTCGTCCTGTCCGCAGCTGGTGAAGCTGTGCAGCGGCGTGATCGAGGCTGGCAAGGCCTACGTCACCACCAACAGGCTCTTCGTGAGTGGCGTCCGCGACCTGTCCCAGCAGTGCCAGGGCGACACCGTCATCTCGGTGAGGGGGCAGCTGACCTCTGACCTCTAGTCAGGGGCGGGCGAGGGCAGACAGCCCCTCAGGGTGCCCTGGCCCTGGGAGCAGGTGGGCGTCTGCGCGCTGGGCTGCGGCCTGTGGGCGGGAGGTGCCGGACACTGGGGCACAGCCATCCCATCTGAGCAAGGGTCTTCCCCCACCCACCCACCCTGCCCCCAGGAATGTCTGCAGAGGTTCGGAGACAGCCTGCAGGAGATGGTCACCTACCACATGGTGAGCCCTGGTCGGGTGGGGGCGATGGGGGGGCRGAGGGGAGGATAGGGCAGGGCCCACCCACCCGGCGGCTTCCTGATCTGTCGTCTCATCCACCCCCATCCCAGGCAGCCCCTGCCCCCACCCCTGCGGGCTCCCTGCAGGCCCCGCCCAGCCTGGAAGGCTCTGGGCTGGCTCCGCGTGCTTGAGCTGAGCTGGCAGGGGCGGGCGGTGGGGGAGGCCACGTTTCTGCTCCTGCAATCTGGCCGGGGGTGGGGGTGGGGGGCGGCACATCGCCGAGACAATGCTGTGTCCCAGGTGAGGGCCAGACAGCCAGCCTGGGGGCACCTCGACCCTGCCCGGGGCTGAGGGCAGCGGGGGCTTGGGGTGGGCAAGGCCTTAGAGGGTCATCCAGGGCCACCCGGCAGGGGTCATGGGCCAGGCAACGAAAGCATCTCCCAGGCTGACCCCACAGCTACCGGATGACTCCCAACCCCGCTGCTACCCAGACTGGTCTGCGTGACCTCGAGCCCCTCGGCCCCCACTGTGGACACACAGAACAGACCGAGGCACACGTGGGTGGTCAGACCGTGGCCTGGAAACCAGAGCCCCAGACTAAACAAGGGGCCCATCCCCTGTAGAGGAAGTTCAGAAATAAACCAGCGCCGGATGGCTTGCCGTCCTGCCCCGTGTGTCTGTCTGTCTGTTCCTGGTTAGGCCCCAGCTCTCTCTGGGGTCTGATTTTGGGTCCGGCCAATGCTGCAGGGAGGCCCCACCCTACCCCCGGGCCAGATTACTCGGGAGCTCCGGCTGCATCTCCATCCCTCTTACTGCAGGGCTGGGCATCCCCCAGGTGGCCTCCCAATGCCGGGCAGCGATGGGTGTCCCTCAGGATTCTGTGTGCGCCTGCCCTGTCCGGGCTGATGTGGGGTGGACCATAAGGGGGGGTCCATCTGGGACAGCGTTGGCTTCTAGTCTGGCTGAGAGCCAGGTGGGGGGGACGGGCAGGTGGTCACAGCTGTCGCCTCTGGCCGCCGACCCAGGCCTGGGGGCCCGTGACCCTGCGAGTCCGGCTCTGTGAGGGTGGGGCTGGACGGGCCTTTCCCTGGTTCTCACCTGAGGGGCCTGGGGCCTGGCCTCTGGGGTCATGTGGGGACAGACACCTGACACCCGTACCCTCCTTTGCCCCCAGATCCTGTTTGACCAGGCCCAGAGGTCTGTGCGGCAGCAGCTCCACAACTTCGTCAAAGAGTGAGTGGCCCCGAGGGAGGCCTGGCCTCTCCCGGCCCCGGGAGGTGTCAGGGTGACACCCACGCTGGAAGGGGGAGCAGGCGCAGCTACGCTTGATCTGGGAGGGTCCAGGGGCCTTGGCAGGGGTCTCAGCTCAGTGCTGTGTGTACAGCTGGGGAACCCCCAGAGTGGAGAGTCTGGAGCGGGGTGAGGCTGGGGGTCCCCCCAGGCTGGACCAATCCCGGGAGTGAGGGGGAGGGGCCTGAGAAGGAAGAGGCAGCCAGCGGTGGCTAGCGGGTGGGGCAGCGGGGCTGGAGGCTCGGGGCACAGAGGGGCCGGGAGCAGGGAGAGCGTTCCCTAGAGGTGGGAGACCCCACGTGCACCCCTCCTCGGACCCCCTGACCTGACGCCCACCGGCCTCCAGAGACGTGCGCAAGTTCAAGGAGACTAAGAAGCAGTTCGACAGGGTCCGGGAGGACATGGAGCTGTCCCTGGCGAGGAACGCGCAGGCCCCGAGGCACCGGCCGCATGAGGCGGAGGAGGCCGCGGGTGCCCTGGTCCTCGCCCGGAAGTGCTTCCGCCACCTGGCGCTGGACTACGTGCTCCAGGTCAGCCCCTGGGCGTTCCCGTGTCCCTGCAGACAGGGAGCTGCTGTCTGGAGGGGCCCCTCTGGCTTGAGAAAACTTGAGATGCTTGGGAACGGACATGGGGGGCGGATGCCCACACAAAGGCCCGAGGTGGGGTTGGGCTAGGGACAAGCCAGGGCTGTGGGCTGCAGGGGGTGGAGGCCTCGAAGGCCTTGCTGAGGCAGGGCTTGGAGGGACTTGGAGCAAGGGAGAGAATTTGTGGCTTTTGCCTATGGGAGGGACCCAGTGTCCTGAACTGCGACCACAAGAGGATGGATGGGCACCAGTTCAGGGAGCTGAAGATGAGCTGGAGGTCTTGGGGGACCACAGCACCCTGAGTGGACAGTGTGGCAAGGTCCAGGTCGTGGTCCGACCTTGGCCCTGACACCCCTTCACCTGTTCACTCCTCCCCTGGCAGATCAACGTTCTCCAGGCCAAGAAGAAGTTTGAGATTTTGGATTCTGTGAGTGCTGGATGAGGGAGAGGGGTTGCCCTCAAGAATAGGCACGTGCCGCAGGCGTGCTGGGTGTGGGTGCAGAAGCTGGGGCCCCGGCCACTGCCCCTGGGGGGCGGGGCCTCACCTGCGTGCCCCACCCCACCCCCCAGATGCTGTCCTTCATGCACGCCCAGTACAGCTTCTTCCAGCAGGGCTACAGCCTGCTGCACCAGCTGGACCCCTACATGAAGAAGCTGGCGGCTGAGGTGAGCCTGCGGGGAGGGGGCCCTGGGGCCAGCTTGTCAGGGGAGGGGGTCCACATCCCTCTCTGTGCCCTTCCCCACAGCTGGACCAGCTGGTGATCGACTCGGCAGTGGAAAAGCGGGAGATGGAGCGCAAGCACGCCGCCATCCAGCAGCGGGTGAGGCCCTGCAGCCCTGGCCGCCCCCCCGAGGGGCTCCGGGTCCACTGCCCCTCACCCCGCTCCACGCGAGGACCTGGGGGGCCCAGCGCACAGACACGTGCCCCGTCCCTCCCCAGGCTGACTCTGATCTTTGAACTGCAGTCAGAGGCGGGGGTCCCCACCCTCAGGGTCTCAGCACAGTGGAACGGTCACTTAGATGCCAGCGCCAGCCCCCTCAGCCCACAGACGCTGGGGCTGCAGCTGGGACGGGGATCCTACTGCGGCCACAGCTGGCCGGGCGCGGCCGGGGGCAGAGACGGGCTGCGGGGCGGGAGCTGACAGTCCCCAGCCGGCAGGGAGGGGGCAGGGCTTCACTCACTGGCTCTCTCCCTCCTCCCACCTCTCCTGCTCTCGCCCTCAGACGCTGCTGCAGGTGAGTGGGCGCCCACCCCGGGGGGAGGGGGCCCCGGTGGGCAGGGCCTCTGCCCTTCCCGCCCCGCGGCGTTTCAGCACCAAGGACACCTCCACGGCCCCGGCGCAGCTCCCGATGCGCGGCCCGCTCCAGCGGAGGTGGCTGAGCTGGGACCGCGTCCCCTTCGTCCCCTTCGTCCCCTTCGGGAGCAGCTGCAGCTGTCCCCTCCCGCCCCCACTCAGCCAGGGGAGCAGGTGGCTGGGCCTCCTCTCCCACTGCCGGACGCCCAGGACAACGCTCAGTGTCTCCCCAGCCCGCGTGAATGGAGCTCTGTCAGGCTGGTCGGGGAGCCCAGCTGGCGACATGAATGGGGGACAGCTTCCTTCCTGATCCCAGAGCCTGCTGCTCTGCCAGGCTGGGGGGTGGGGGCTGGAGCTCTCCGGGCCCCCAGCTGTGACGGGAGGCATCTGCCCCCACGGGGTTTTGGGTCAGGAAGCGGCTGTGAAGACGCCCCCCCGACCTCGCCTCTGGGGCAGCCCGAGAGGGCGGCAGTGTCCCCGCAGCCGCGGGTGGGTGCTCACTGGGGGCTGGGCTCCGACCACCCCCAGGACTTCTCCTACGATGAGCCCAAGGTGGAGTTTGACGTGGACGCTCCCAGTGGTGTGGTGATGGAGGGCTACCTCTTCAAGAGGGCCAGCAACGCCTTCAAGACATGGAACCGGTAAGGGAGGGCCCTTCCTCAGGGGGTGAGGGGCAGGCATGGGGGCCGGCCCGGCCTGACCCCTCCTGGCCCATCCCCCTGCCCAGGCGCTGGTTCTCCATCCAGAACAGCCAGCTGGTCTACCAGAAGAAGCTCAAGGTGCGCTGGGCCCAGGCAGCAACGACCGGGGCCTCCCCACCAGGCCTTGGGGTGGGCGATCGGTGGGGGGCGTCACAGGGCTGAGGGTGCTGACAGGCACCAAAGCCCGAGTGGCCAGGGACAGAGGCCACTCAAGTCTCAGGCGGTCGGCGTCTCTTGAGCAGAGCAGTGGATGGGCGGTCGGTGCGGGGCAGGGCTGGGCACTGAGTGCGAGGGCCACGGCGGTGCCGCCCGCAGGACGTGCTGACCGTGGTGGTGGATGACCTCCGGCTCTGCTCCGTGAAGCCCTGTGAGGACGTCGAGCGCAGGTTCTGCTTTGAGGTCGTGTCGCCCACCAAGTGAGGAGGCCCGGCCCAGGGCGGGCGCGGAGGGAGCCCCTGCCCGCGCGGCCTGACGGCCCTTCCCCGCAGGAGCTGCATGCTGCAGGCCGACTCGGAGAAGCTGCGGCAGGCGTGGGTTCAGGCTGTGCAAGCCAGCATCGCGTCCGCCTACCGGGAGAGCCCCGACAGCTGCTACCGCGAGGTGGGCCCTCCAGCGCCCTGCACACGCGCGCACAGCTCCCGCAGGCTGCACGCGAGCAGGCGTGTGCATCGTGTGTACGCGCACGTGAGCGTGTGTGCACACATGCGGGCGCGGGCTCGGGCCTCAGGGGCCTTGGCCTGTGCCAGCACCTGCGTCTGGGGAGGAGGAGGGGCCCCGCTGGGGAGACTGGGGCTGGAGCTCCCATGGGGCTGAGCGACCCCTCACCCTGTCTCCAGAGGCTGGACCGCACGGCGTCCCCGTCCACAAGCAGCATCGACTCTGCCACGGACTCTCGGGAACGCAGCGTCAAGGGCGAGAGCGTGCTGCAGCGCATGCAGCATGTGGCGGGGAACAGCCAGTGCGGCGACTGCGGGCGGCCGGACCCGCGCTGGGCCAGCATCAACCTGGGCGTGCTGCTCTGCATCGAGTGCTCGGGCATCCACAGGTGGGACCACGGGGTGGCCAGGTGGGGCGCGGGGGCCAAGGCGTGCCCTGACTCCCCCTCCCCCCGCCTCGCCATCCAGGAGCCTGGGTGTCCACTGTTCCAAGGTGCGGTCCCTGACCCTGGACTCGTGGGAACCGGAGCTGCTGAAGGTGTGCGGGGCCGTCACAGGCCTCTGGATGGCTGGGGGCAGCAGGTCGGGGGCGGGAGCCAGGTCTGCAAGCTTGGGGGGCGTTCAGTGAGCTGGGCTGATGCCCACACCACCCTCTCCTGCCAGCTGATGTGTGAGCTGGGAAACAGCACTGTGAACCAGATCTACGAGGCCCAGTGCGCAGGGCCAGGCAGCAGGAAGCCCACGGCCAGCAGCCCCAGGTGAGGTGGGGGGCAGCCTGGGCAGGGCCAGGGGACCCCTGGCCCGTGAGTGCAGCCTCACGTCCAGTCCTGGTCCAGGCAGGACAAGGAGGCTTGGATCAAGGACAAATACGTGGAAAAGAAGTTCGTGCGGAAGCCGCCCTCGGCACCGGCCCGGGAGGCCCCACGGCGCTGGCGGGCGCAGAAGTGCCCACGCCACCACAGCTCCCCCCGTGCCCGCACCACCCGCCGCAGCAAGATCCGGATGGAGCCCGTCCCGCCCTCCGTGGCTGCTCTGTGCTCAGGTGGGAGGGTCTGGCAGGTGCGCCCCAGCTCACAGGCCTGGGCAGGGCGTGAGCCTCCAGACTCTGGATCCCAGGGAGGCCGGGGTGTGGGGGGATGGTAGGAGGGGGGGCAGGGCTCACGGGCACCCCAAGCTCTGCCCACCTCCCACCGCAGCCTGGTTCCCGCCCTGCAGGCTCCACAGAGCCCAGGTTCCGCAGGGACTCCCTCTTCTGCCCGGATGAGCTGGACTCCCTCTTCTCCTACTTCGACGCGGGGGCTGCTGCAGCCGGTCCACGCAGTAAGTCCCCTGCTGCCCACCCCCCCCACCCACACCCCCGCTCAGCAGGGGTAGCAGGGCAGGAGCCAGGCACGCTCGCCTGGAGGGTGGATGAGTGCGGGACAGCCTCGGCCACTCGCTCAGGGACCGGAGGGACGGGCTTTCCTTGCAGGAGGGGCTGGTCTGGGGATGGGGAGAGTTTGGAGGTCAAGCAGGGCTGAGGCTGGGACAGTATCTTGAGGGGCCGGGGGTAATTTGGCCACTGGCTTGGAGGCTGGGGCCATGACCCTCAGGAGTGACGTGGGCACACAGGAATGTGCGTGTAAGGGCGTGACTGTGCACACAGGTGCACGCCTGTGAGTGCACGTGCATACGTGTGTACCTGCGTGGGCGTGTGCCCATGCACGTGTGCACGTGGCTGCTGGGGGCGGGACCAGATCCTGAGAGAGTTGTGTGCATCTTCCCCAACCCCTGCTGGAGTTGGGGGTGCAAACGCTACAAGTCAGGGCTCACCCCGTTAACCGTCTGTCAGCACCCACTGGCCTGGGGTGTGTGGGCAGAGGCGTAGGTTGGGGCCAAGAACTGGCCAGGCTGCTGGGGTGACGGAGGTCCCCTCAGGCAGCAGAGGGCACTGTCTCACCATCCCTCAGCCTGGTTTCATCTGTGAGGGCTGCCCTTGGGTGAGCAGGGCCAAGTTCGCTCGCTGTGGCCTGGGGCTGTGTCTGGGGCTTGGCAAAGACCCCACCTCTGGGCGGTGACCGCCCAGCCTGCACTGGCCACAGCTAGGGCTGACCTGAGAGGGCGGACTTCCACCTGTGGCTGTGCTCCTGGGGGACGGGCGATCCTGGCTCTCTCAAGCTGTTACTTGATTCTCTCCCCTTTCCTCCCATCCTGGGCAGGGCTCCCCTCTCCCTCACCCCGCAGCATCCCCCGGAGGGGGGGTAGGGTGCCAGCCTTCCCGCAGGGCTGTGGGAGCAGGCAGAAGCGCTCAGGACCTCCTCTGCTTGCGGACCCTGCAGGTCTGAGCAGCGACAGCGGCTTAGGGGGCAGCTCCGACGGCAGCTCGGATGTCCTGGCCTTCGGCGTGGGCTCCGTGGTGGACCGCGTCACTGAGGAGGGTGGGTGTGCAGCTCCCCAGTCCCGTGCCACCTGTCCCCCACCGCGGGCCAGGTCAACGGCCCTGACCGCCCCCTCCTCGCAGAGGGTGCCGAGTCGGAGGAGTCCAGCGGCGAGGCAGATGGAGAGGCGGAGGCCTGGGGCCTGGCGGACGTGCGCGAGCTGCACCCCGGGCTACTGGCGCATCGAGCGGCGCGCACTAGAGACCTCCCTGCACTGGCCGCGGCTCTGGCGCAAGGAGCCGAGGTCAACTGGGCTGACGCGGAGGACGAGGGCAAGACGCCGCTGGTGCAGGCCGTGCTGGGGGTAAGTGGGCGCGGGTTTGCACCCTTCCACGGCGCGCACGCGGGGCCCTTGCCCTCTGCTGAGGACCGGGCTTGGTCCTGCTGGGGCGCCCAGGGAGGCGTAGTGGGGGGGTTGGGGGGTAGGGGGTGGGGGGACAGGGGTCCTGCAAGGGACCATTTCTGTTGCTCCGCTTGGTTTGATCCCACCCCCCACCCACCCCCCAGGGTTCCTTGATCATCTGTGAATTCCTCCTGCAAAACGGAGCGGATGTGAACCAAAGAGACAGCCGGGGTCGGGCGCCCCTGCACCATGCCACGCTCCTGGGCCGCACCGGGTAAGTCGTGGGTGGGCCGCGCCCCTGCCCCCTCCTCGCCCACCCTCCCCTTCCCCACCCCCCCTTGCCCCCCGTGGACCCGAGTCGCCTGCCAGGACCTGCCCAGGGCCCGCCCCGACTTGCTCCTCCGCCCTCAGCCAGGTCTGCCTGTTCTTGAAGCGGGGGGCGGACCAGCATGCCTTGGACCACACGCAGCAGGACCCACTGAGCATTGCGGTGCAGGAGGCGAATGCAGACATCGTCACGCTGTGAGCACAGCACGGGGGCAGCGGGGGCCGGGCGGCGGGAAGCGGGCGGCGGGTGGAAGCGCCTCACGTGGCCCTCCCTCCTCCAGTCTCCGTCTGGCGCGCATGGCCGAGGAGATGCGTGAGGCCGAGGCGCCTGCTGGCCAGCCGGGGCCCCTGGCTGGCAGCAGCCCCACCGAGCTCCAGTACCGCAGGTGCATCCAGGAGTTCATCAGCCTCCACCTGGATGAGAGCTAGGGTGGCAGGGCCTTGGCGGGACCCCCACCGGCCCATTTCCTGAGAGCCCCGGAGCTCCTGGAGCCCTGCTGCCTGCTCTGCCCCCTTCGGAGCTGCCCTGACCCCCACGGCCCGGAGCAGGACCCCAGCACTGAGTCTTCTGAAGTTCCATGTCTCCCCTGGGAGGTGCTGCATCACCCCACCCAGGGACCCTGTGTCTTCGGGTGACCCCTCCCTAGGGGGCCTGGGTTGGCTCGTGTCACAAACCACTCTCAAGGCCCCACATCACCTCGTGCCCCTCTCTGCTCCCCCAGGCCCGTGTCACCTCATGCCCCTCTATCCCTGGGGCCCATGCCGCTTGGTGCCCCACTCTGCCTTCAGGGCCTGTGTCACCTTGTGCCCCCACTTTACTGCCCAAGAACACTGACCTGCTAGTAGGGGCCCTCCCACATCCCCAGAACCCCTCCACTAGGCCCTGGGGCTGGTGGCTGGCCACCAGCACGTGGCGAGGGCAGAAGGGGCCGCCCATCCAGGGAATCAACCCGCGTACCTCACTTAGCGACCCCAGCATCCAGGCTGGGCTTCTTGGGTGCTTGGGGGGCTCTGGCCTGGGGCCTTAGCCCTGGCTGGGTGCGGATGTCCCGAGGCCGTGTGGCTGGCCATGCAGGCCCTCGTGCCCCGTAGCCCCACCCATCCCCCCCTTTTCCCACAGCGGGTGGCAGGGGTGTGGCTCTTCCCACCCCTGCATCCGACATCCTTTGTCACGGACTGAGGGGTTTTCTACAATGACCTCCTTCTCACTTTGTCTCACATCTTTTCTCTGGACTCAAGGACCACTTTGACCCCCAGCTCTGCCTGCTGCTAGGGGAGGCGCCTGCAGCTCAGCCCTGCCCCCTCGCCAGCCTTCCCCCACCACCACCTCCGGCTAGACCCATGGGGCCTCGGCTCACTCCCCAGGGCCCTCTGATGCCTTCTGCATTCCCCTTCCCAGAGCCCTGGGGCACCGGCTGGGCCTCTCCCCAACTCGGGCCCTCGGCCAGGCCAAGGCCAGTTGGTTGCTCACTATGCAAAGACTGCCCAGGGAGGCCCCATGGGCAGCAAGGTGGGTGCGGACTGGGCTCCCAGCTCCCTCTCCTGCTGGCTGTGACCCCTAGAGAGCCGAATCAATGCCTTCCTCTCTCCCTGCTTGAGCTCTGCCCCCGCCTCCCGCCCCACTGCCTGCATCAGGGCCTTTGCTGCGGCCTCGGCTGGCTGGCGGGACCCGCCTCCGTTCCAGATCACAGTTAATAAACGGCCGCCTGCACCTGCCCCCTCGCCTCGCCCACCTCACTCCGCTCTGTCTTGGCTGGGGACGGGGTGGGGGGGCGGTCTCTGCGTCCCCTGCTTTCCCCAAGGGGAGGCCCTGCGTGGGACAGTACCAGTCGTGCCCCCAAAGCATGTAGTAAGGCAGAGCCCAGTGCCCCTGCTGGCGGCCTCGTGGAAGCCCGGGCTGCTTTGATTAAAACCAACTCCTGATACCCCATTCCCTGGCCCTCTGCTCTCCTCTGGGATGGACACCAACTGGCGAGGGTGCTCTGGCCCTGGCCTTGTCCCCTGGGCAAGCTCTGGCCCCACGCCCTCCCGTTCCCCAGCTCCCACCGTGACCGTGACTGAGGGTGTGGGGGTGTGGTCTGAGGTCTTCAGCTCGCTGCGGGGGTGGGGGGAGTGGGGGGGGCGCACGGCAGGACACACTACAGCCACCAGGTAGAATCATCCATTTTACTGCAAAGCGGGCCCAGGTCACTGAGTGCCCGGGCCTCGTCCTGCCCTTTCTCCCACTGGCCCTGAGCGAGGGGGGCTCTGCCCGATGCCTGCACACACCTGCACGGAGGTGTAGACAGACGTGTTGATGCTCGGAAACATGTGGATGTATGACGCTGACACCAGACAAACACACTCCCTTGGGGCGCCCCCCTACCTCATGCACGCGTGCACACTCCTACATACGGGAGATGCTCCGTCACGCCCTGAACGCGAGGCTCCCGAGTAGTGGGGACGCTCCCCTGCTCCCTGCCCCAGGCCTCCCCGAGACCTGTGAGGTCACTGCCCGGCAGGCAGCTGCGCTAAGAAGGCCCTGTGTGCTAGCGCCTGGCGCCTGCCCGCCCTCGGGCTCTGGTGCCGCTGCTTCTTGGGCCCCGGGTTTGGCTCGGCTGGCGGGGGGTGGGGGGGGCCTGTGGGGCGGGACTGGCCGGCCCTGGGCAGCCGGGAGAGCCCACTGCTGCCACAGCTCCCAGGGTCAGGCCACTCGCAGGCTGGTTCAGGTGTCAGGAGTTTCCGGGGCCCACACCGGGCTGACCTCCAGCCAAGACCCCTGCCGGAGCCCCTGCAACATCATGGGAGGTGGAGCTGGGCCCCCAGGCGTTCGACGTCATGCCTGCAGCTACCCGGCCACCAGCCGGCCTCTGGCTCGGAGCGGGCATCCCCGTGGCTGCCCTGGGCTGGCCCCGAGCCCCGTGGAGCTGGCGGCAGCACAGCAGCAGGGCGAGGGCCGCAGCGTCCAGCAGCAGCTCCAGCATCTCCACGACTGAGAGGACACAAGAGCCGAACCACGGGCTCCAGAGACTGCCCGTGACTGAAAGCAGCTGTGGCACATATGGGTGTTGCGGGCGGTGAGCGTCGGCCCCGGGCGCCAGCCCTGCCCCACCCCCGCTCATCGGCCCGGTGGCTGCCGAGTAGACGGGTGTCCTCGTCCACCGTGCGGTAGCTGAGCTCCTGAGAGAAGATGTTCACCTTGGCCAGGTTGCTCCTGGGGCGGGGCACAGGCGAGAGGGGCGGGGCCGTCCCTGGGGGCGCTGAAGGGCGAGGATGGCAGGGGGGGCGCCAGGACATGACCTCAGCAGGAGGGGGCTGCACCCACCTGGGGCTAGGGCTCCGGGGGCCTGGCCCGCCCTGCACACACAAGGCTCACTGGCTGCGGCTCCTCCCCGGGCGCTGTGGGGCAGTGTGAGGGCAGGGCCTGGGGGACACAGGTCAGTCCGGGGAGGGCTCCCTGCCCCTAAGGCCTCACCCCGCTTCCGGGACTCACGGCTGACTTGGAGGAAGGCCAGCTGGAGGTCCCAGCGGAGAGCTTGCACGAAGACTCCCTGGGAGAGACAGACCCCGTCACATCCCTGCGAGGTGCCTCCGGGCGGACCCCACCCCGGCACTCCCCACTCCCCTGCAAGGCCGGGGGCAGCGGGAGGCGCAGGGAAGCCGGTGGGTCTCCAGGTCCTTGCAGAGGCGGCGGAAGCAGTGGCCTGGGGAGGGGGTCATGGGTGAACCTGCTAGGAATGACCCAGGGGCGGTGGAGAGGTCTGCCCTTGACGGGGCAGCCTGGGACTCTGCCCCCCGCAGCCCATGCAGGCTGGCAGAGTGGGGGGCTACCCCAGGCCGGGTGCCGCACGGAGTTGCAGTGCTGGGCCCCCGTAGGCAGGGGGTAGAAGAAGCAGCCGCAGGAGCGGGTCTCCACCATCAGCGGCTGGAAGCAGGAGACCAGGCAGGCCTGGGGGAACAGCGGGGACTGGAGCTGTGGGTCCAGGACCGCTGCCCCTCTTCCGGGCCTGCCGCCCGCCCACCTTCCTCCCACTGGCCTGTCCGCCCCCCAGCTCCCACTCCTTGCCTTAGCCCCCCCACTCACCAACCCCCTCCCTGGGCCCCTCCCCCCTCCTTCATGCCCCCCAGGCCCCGCCTCACCTGCCTGGTGCAGGAGGCAGTGTACAGCAGCTGCACCTCCACGCCCCCCGTGCTGTCTGTGCAGTGCCCACAGGGGCTCCCGAGCCGGTGCACCTTGTCCTGGGGGGAGGGGGTGTGGTTCAGTTCTGCCGCCCTGCCCTGGAGCTCCCGAGGCCCCAGGTTTGGGCACGGAGGCCAGGAGCCTTGAGGCTGGGCGGCCCACCTCTCGGAGGTGGTCTCAGTCCCTGGCCGATGCTGAAGGCCCCCGGTGCTCCAGGAAGGGCGTGTGGTCACGCGTGCGGATCACGACTTTGATGCCGGCCTCCGTGGGCAGCAGAAGAAGATGATCCTGCTGCTTCGCCCCGAGGGCCAGGCTGACCCCTGGGGGAGGCCGGGGGTGAGGCCAGGCCGGCCTGGACACCCCGCCCACACCCAGCCCAGGCTGGCACTCAGCGTGGGTGATGCCAGGGTGCTGCGCGGCCCAGACACCGTTGAAGGTGTAGCAGCTGCCGTAGCTGGGGTGGTGCGAGGTCTGGAAGTGTCTGGAACCAGGGGCCACGCTCAGACCCGCACATACCCCTGACCCATCACCCTGTTGTGTGCAGCCCCGGGGTTGCAGGGAGGGGACCACAGCTGCCTTATCTCTGGAGGGAGCCGTGGGGCCGGCAGACCACTGCATGGGGCGTGGCGGGGCGAGCAGCCACCCGCCTGCACTCACTGGGCCTGGCGGTCCTGGCCGGCGTAGCGGCAGGAGAAGACAGTGTCTGCCGCGGCTGTGGTGGCCGTCCTCGTGGGCAGCAGGCCCAGAACGTTCACGCGGTGCAAGCGGTACCACTCCCGGGCGGCCACCACGCCGGAGGAGTAGGCCTGCTGGGTGCAGTCGCCTCCAGCGCTGTTACACTGGGCGGCACGGGGTCAGCGTGGGGCTCCGACCTGCCCCGTCCCATGCAGACCTCCCAGGGCTGGGACACTCACCAGTTTGCAGCCCACTCTGTTCTGGCCCCCCAGGGGGCTCAGCCTTGGAGGTGGATCCCGCGGTCCAGCTGGAAGGTGGGCTCGGGGCCCGGGGCCTTGGCCCCTGGGGCGTCCACGCTGTCGCTGAAGTTGAACCCACACAGGGAGTAGATGTTCTGCCGGGCAAAGTTGTCCAGCGCCCGCAGGGGGCGGCGGGCTGGGTGTGGTCTGGGGGCGGGGCCAGGGTGGGGGGCAGCAGTGTCAGAGCCAGGCCCCGAGTCCCCACGACAGCCACGCACACTGCGGGGAGAGCCACGCCGGTCCCCACGGCACTGACCTGGGTGTCACGGAGAGCAGAGCGGCCCCCATCCCCCGCCGTCCTCAGAAGCCTAGGAGGGGGTTCGGGAGCCGGGGCTGCAGAGGGAAGTCAGATCCCCGGCCTGCCTGCCCCGCCCACCGTGGACCCCGCCACCCTCTGGCTCGTTCACGGCCCCTCCCTGTCTTTGGAGTGTTGCCCTGCTCCTTTCTCGGGGTGCCTGCCCTTCTGGAAAGTCCCCTGCCACCCTCCCCTCCCCCTCCCCGGGCTGCCCAGCGCCTCAGCGTCCCTCCGGGTGGCAGTGGTCACACCAGGATTCCGCTGGCTCTCGCCCTTTAGCCCGCTCCCGGGGCTCAGGGCTGGGGAAGGCTCGGGGCTGGGGAAGGCAAGTGGTCCACGATGGGGGCTCCCGCTGTGACAGCACGTGGGGAGGGCCCCAAGCTGGCTGCAGCCCTCACCGGTGCGGGTTCATGTCGCACAGGGTGACCGACAGGAAGAGCTTGCGCTGTGCCGCGCTCCGAGTGTACGGACACCGTCATGATGACCGGGTAGCGCCAGTACTGCCTGAAGAGGAGTCCGAGCTGCCAGCAGAGCACGCCCAGGGCCCGCGCGAGCCGCAGCCCCCAGGATGCAGTCTTGAGGCGGTTCTGGCTGGAGCACACAAGGCGGATGGCGCCGTGGATGGTGCCGTTGGTGCAGAAGGTGGCGACCAGCTCCCTCAACGAGGCGCGCAGCTCCACCAGCCTCTCCCCACGCTCCTCCTCGGGCGGGGGCGGTGGTGGCGATGGCGGCAGCTGGGGGCACGTTCGGGCCCCCGGCCCCCCACCAGTTGCTTGGGCCATGGCTCCAGCCTGAATCCCAGAAGCGAGCCTCAGTGGGGTCCCAGCCCACCGTCCGGTCTGACCCCACCCAGGTGTCCCCACCCGGGGCCATGCCATCGACTTCCATTCTCTGTCCCTGGGAACTCCCGGGACCGTCGCGTCCCTCAGCCTCCAGTGGCCCAGCCCGGCCTGCTGATGCCCAAGAGAGGCCCCATCAGAAGCTGGTCCATACTTGGGACCGATGCTGCGGCCCTCCCCTGTGATGACCGGCAGGGCACCAGGCGGCCTCCGCGGGTGTGTCTTGTCATGGCCAGAGCTGAGCCTGGGCGGTGGGGCAGGGACAGCAGGGGACATGGTGTTCAGGCCACGCCTGGCCTTGTTTGCAGGCAGGCTCGAGGCTGGGTGGGTCTCTGCTGCCATCTGCCAAGTGGGCCAGGGGCCTCTGGTGAGGGGCAGCCAGGTGACCTGCTCAGGGTGGGCCTAGAGCCCAGTGCTGAGGATTGACGGGACTCTGGGCCTCCACGGCCTCCACCAACCCTCAGCGGCCAGCATGGCCACTTTGACTGGGGCCGATGGAGCCAGGCAGGTCTGGCCACATCTGGGCCAAGGGTCAGGCCTGTAGACCGGTGGGCGCTGCTGGCCTGGGGTGGGGAGTTGTCCACCGAGCTGAGTCCCCAGGGATGGTCCATTTGTGGGCCTCGGGCTTCCAGAAAAGTAGGCAGCAGGCTGATGGGCCAGACGTGGTGGGGATCTGAGGGCCGCAAGGAGGTGGACCCGAGGCCTGCCTGGCCCCCATTCCCACCTGGAGGCTCCAGCGTCCCGGGACCCAGGTCCCCCAGTGTGCAGGGCCGTGGAGCCCTGACCAGGTCAGGGCTGCCGGTCCAGGACACGCACTGAGTCACTGCCCGGGCCTACTGCGGACTTCCCACAATGTCCCCATCTTGGTCTGAATCGTTAGGCCTCTCACACTTGGGGTGCAGCCCCCTGAGTTCTGGCCCCTCCAGCCAATGGGGCCTGGGCTGGCGCTTGGGGAGGGCGCTGAGCCAGAGGAAGGGCCTGGTGCATTCAGCTGGCACGTGCTGGCACCCTAGCACCAGCCAGCTGTGTGGGGCCCAGGCCTCGGGTTTGTGGAGGTGGCCTGGCCAAGGGCACATGCCAGCATGGGGTGCTGATGGCGGGTCCCACACGGGACAGAGCGCTGCCCACACGTGTGTCCCGTGATCACACTGAGCCCTCACAGGGAAGGCAGGATCCTCAGCCCTGTGATACTGGCGAGGCAAAAGGGGCTCCAGAAGGTTCTTTGGGACTCCGTACCGGCCGCCTCCCACCCCAGCTGGAGCAGGAGGAGGGTGGCTCTGGAGACCCAGGCACCTCCAGGGTTTCCTGAGACGGGGAGCAGGGTCCTGCCACTGGGGCGGATGCGCTGGGGTGAGTGTGGGCACCGCGGGTCCCTGACGCCTCAGCTGCGGCAGGAGCAGGGGTGCATGGCCCCTTCACGCAGCACACGCACACACACACACTTGCACGAACACACACTCCTCTCACACACAGCAAGCCCTCTGTCAGTGGGGGTGGCGTGATGAAGGTGTGGACAGGAGCCCCTGCCCTCTCACGTGGGACGTGGCCCCTCCACTTCAGGCAGGGGAGACCCGGAGAGATGGCCTGCCCCAACTGCCCCGGCCACAGGCCACCTCAGGCACCCCTGGGACCTTGAGGCTGGAGCCTCCCTGTGTGGGTGTCTCCAACCTCCCGTGCTGGGTGGCTGCGACAGTGGCGGTGCTGCTGGCGGTTCTAGCAGATGACAAAGCAGCCGTGGCCCAACGCTGGCCAGGCAGCCTCCTATTTATAACAGGCTGGGCGTGGGACGTGGCGGTGGGGAGGGACCCGGCTGGGGGCAGTCACACCTGCTCTGGTCCTGGAAGGGGAAGCCTTTGGCTGCAGGCACTGGCGTCTTTCCCCGGTGGGAAGCTTTCCTGCCCCGGTTCCTTGCGCCAGGCTTGGGGCCCTGGCCCTGGCCGGGGTGAGGGGCCCGAGGTTTCTGGAGGGCGAGGAGGGACCCCGCTGCAGCAGACCCTGCATGCCCCCTGCCCTGTCCACTCTCCTCCAGCCTGGCCTGCAAGGATGCCTGCTCGCCTCCACCTGCCAGGCCTCTGACCACAAGTGTTTGTGGCCAAGGGTCGCTGGGCAGGGGCCTTCATTCCCAGAACACAGGGGTCTGCCAGGGCTGGCTGCCCAGCCCCTGGGACAGGCGGGGACTGTGAGAAGGAGCTGGGGCGCAGGTGGGAGATGGCGCCCACAGCTCAGCCTCCCAGGAGATACTAAGACCACGCACCACCCACGAAGACAGCACCACACCCTAGGGACACACCATCTCGGTTGCTGAAACCCTCGGCCTCAGTGTGGTTGCATGAGGCCAGCCAGTGTGCTGGAGGCAGGACAGCCCCAGGGTGACAGGCCGGGGGACCCAACATGGCTCTAGGATGACCCAGAGGCCTCGTCATCCCAAGTGACCGGACCCTCAGCCTGGTCCCAGGCTTGAGGGGTCGACTCAGGCCCTCTGCCCCTCCCCACACAGGCTCTGGGTTCCTGACACCCCACCCCAAATCGGTGCTGAGGACCCGGGCTGAGATGAGGGAGGAAGCCCCCACCTCCACCAGGCCCTTCTGGTGGGGCCTTGGCTCTGAGGAGGCGTGAGGTCACCAGCCTCGTGGCTTTGGAAGGAGGGAGATGGCCACAGGAGACCTCTGGGAGAGGGAAGTCACGCTTGGGGAAGAGCTGGCCCTGGACTCATCTGGGCGTGAGTGCGAATCACAGCTTTGCCACTCATCGACTGTATGACATTGCCCAAGTTACTCAACCTCTCTGAGCCCGTTTCCTCAGGTACAAAGTGGGATTGAGTTTCCTCGAGGCTCAGAGGTGAGACCAACTGATGTCACTGGGCCAGTGTCAGAGCCCCTCCTTCCTCCTCCTGAGGCGGCCACCCCAGAGCCTGCCTTTGGGAGGGCAGAGACACAGAGACTGCATCCAGTGGCAGTGAGGCCAGCAGCCCCCTCCTCCCTTCTGGGCCCGTGCCCTCGCCTGCCTCACCAGGCCCCTCCAGTCCCTGGAGGAGCAGTAGGTGGTGTCTGGGGCGGGACAGGGCTTCCCCAGCTCCCTTGACGGCTGTATGTTGAAAGGATTAGAGAAGGGAAAGGCGGAGGGCCCCCGTCCCCCGCCCTCTCCCCAGAAGGACGGCTGGCCCTAGCCTTCAAGTGGTGGCCTTCACCGAGGCTGGGCCTAGAGGCACCAAGGCGTCCCTTTGCAGGCCGGGGCTGCCCTGCAGACCGCGGGTGCCTGGGCTCCACCTCCACCCTCAGGGACAGCTCAGGGTTGGCCCTGGGGGAATTCCAGTGCAACAGACGTGAAGTCTGAGCTCATGGGCTCTGCACGTGTGTGTGGGATTCCTGGGGGGGTGGGCAGGTAGGGGCATCCTCCCCGCCCTAGAGCTGGCCCATCTGGAGTCCATGCCCGCCGGAGGGTAAGGGGCCTCCTCGGTGCAACTGCAGAAACTCTCCATCCCCCAGGCATTGACCGCAGTGGCAGGCAGGGGCTCCTGCCACCACAGAGGGGGCTCCGGCTGGCTGCGGTGGGCAGAGTGCGTGACGCTGCCCGTGTGGGGCTCAGGGTCCGGCCGTGGGTCTGCCCCACACCTGCATTTGAAACACTCTGGCGCCTCAGGGTGGCCTCCCTTGTAGAACTCTCCGTGAGCTAGAAACAGCTGGGCCCACCCTGTGTGGGGATGGCAGAGCCCGGGTGGGGGGGAAGGCGGGGGAGTGAAGGGCAGGCTGAGCTATTTCCTGAGCGTGGCAGCAGGAGGTGGGGCCTGGGGACTGTCAGCCTCCCCAGGAGGAGGGCGGGCCAGCACCGGGGGACACTGGGGGCCAGAGACGTAGCAGGCTGGCTTCCCACGGGCCGACTCGCCTGGTGCTGGGCCGAGGGACGACGGGCACTCCTTCTGCTTCTGCCCTGGGTCAGGGGCCAGCCCTGCAGTGGCTGCTCAGATCCTGCCTGAGGCGCCCTGGGTGGGCCAGACTCGGGGGCGAGCATGGCCGCCCTCCCGCCCTCTGCCAGTGGCCACGGCTACACCCGTCAGGGCTTGGAGTCCACCGTCAATCGCCACGTGGTCAGTTACCCCGTTGACCGGTGGGCTATTCCGAGAGGCAGTCAGGGTCGTGGTCAGGGGTGAGAACTTGGGGTCTGAACTGCAGCTCTGCTGCACGGAGCCCTGTGCTCTGCCCAGCGACGGCCCCTCCAGATGGGTCCTGGCTGACGAGCACCACCAGCCTCACAGCCGAGCCGGCAATGGCACAGCCTGTGTGGGCACCCCCAGCCCCACTCACCAGGAAGGGTAGTGTGTCGGCCTGCCCAGCTGCCCAGCCCTCCCTTTTCCAGAACCCCACCTGTGTGCCATCCTCACGTGCCCCCCAGTGTTCCCCAAGGCAGATGTGAGATGCACATGACACCTCCAGGCCCCGTGGTCAGGGCTGTCTTGATGCTGTCCCAGTGGCAGCACCCTCTGCTCCCCGGGGCCTTCCCTGGCCGCCCCACCGCCCTGCTCTGCCTCCCCCTCCCCCAGGGCCAGGGAGGGGGCCGTGGGAGCGGAAAGCCAGCCTCAGTGCGGCATCCACGGTGCATAATGACCCTATTGATGGGCTGGGTGGAAAATTCGGTCGGGAAACAGTGCAACACTTTTTATGAGGACAGCTCTCCCCCTGGGCAGGGGCTGGGCAGGCTTCCCACGGCGGACCCCACCTGGCACAGGTTCTGGCGGGGCTCCGGGTCCCACGCGTTACCGCAGCCACACAAGGCCACCCAGGACTCGATTCTCAGGGCCCCAGGTGGTTCGGTCACTGAGGCCCGGGGACGCAGAGTGCCTCCCGCGCTCTCCTGCTAAATGGGCACAAGAACTGGGCCCCCCAGTCCGCACTGGGCCGATCCTTTGAAAGGGGGCCGGCGGGAGGGTCGGCGTCCCAGAGAAGTCGGGCGGGGCTCACGCCGGCACCGCGGGGGTCACCCTCTAACAGAACCTGTCTTCCCGCGGAAGGCCGGGGTTCCTAAGGAGGGGAACGTGCTCGGTGGGGGGCCCCGGTCCACTGCGGCTGCTGACTCTCCCCGGGGCCGCCAGCCGGACAGCGTTGCGGCTGAAGGATCAACCGGAGGGCCGCAGCTGTCAGACCAGACGTGCAGAAGGGCTCGGGCCCCGCCCCGCGAGGCTGCAAGCCACTGCCCATGCGCTTACTGTTTCCGCTTCCTGGGGCGGGTGGCGGCCGCGAGACGCAGGCGACGTCCGCCCGGCCGCCTAGAGAGGTCGCCCCCCCGGCTAACCGCGCCCCGGAACCGGAAGCGTGGATAACCCCGCCCCGCGAACGGCCATCTTGGAAGCAGAAGCGGAGGAGGCGGCGGCGGCGGCGGCAGCGGCGGCAGCGGCGGCGGTCGGGGTGGGCTCGGTCCTGGCGCGGTGCAGCTCTGCGGCGCGGGCCCCACTCTCTCGCTCCCTGCTCTGGCCTCGAGCACGGCGAGCCTGAGCGCGGCGGCGGCCCACGCGCGGCGACGGGGAGAGGTGAGCACGCGCCGCGGGCCTGTGCCGGGGCCTCGGCCGCGCGTCCGCCGCGCCGGAGCCGGTCCGAGCGGCGGGCGGGGGGCGCGGGGCCTCCGCACGGCCCATCCCCGCCCCGTCCGCGCTCGCGGGGCCCGGCCTGGAGCTTCCGTGCGTGGAACCCGATTTCGGTTATGGCGGGGCGTCCGGGGCTCCGGGCCGGCTCTTTCTCCCTCCGGCTAGCTTGGGGATTCGGGTGGTTACACGGTTGGCGTCCCACGGAAAGGCCTCCCGTTAGTGGCACACTTGCGGCTGCCGTCAGGACGGGCCGGCGTAGAGCTTGGTTCGTAAACTGCTCTGGGAATCCGTGTTGGGATGGGGTGACTGCCGTCCAGCCCGCCGCCGCTTCATCCCCGAGCAGTTAGGACTCCAGACCGCCCCTTATGTCCCCCCAGCAGTGAGCGTGCCTGGTTGACGCCCTTGGGGTGGTAACTGAGAGAAAATCCGGGCGGTCAGAGTGGGACGCTCCACGCCGGGCGGCCGGAGTGGGCCCTGGGCCGGCTCCTCGCCTGTGCACGCCCGCTCTCTCGTCTGGCCATGTGTAAGCGTCTCGCCCCTTTTCCAGTTAGTACCACTTAGTTGGTCTATGTTTAGTTCCCATCCATTCCCGACCGCACGCGGGCCCAGGCATGAAACACTTAGAGAGGTCAGGCCCCAGCCGGTGGAGGGGGCGGCGAGCGGAGCTAGTGAGGGCGGTGGTCGCGGCTCTGTTCTTTGGAGGTGCGAGACCCTCGGTGTAGGCTCGTTTTCGCGGAGAGGAACTTAAGGGTCTCGCTTGATTGAAAGGTCCCGCGTGTCTGCAGGCACCGTTGGATCTCGGCACCTAGAACTGGCGCTCAGTCATCCGCACACTTTGGCCGCGCCGATCTCTGGCAGGTGCGGGAGTGGCGGCGGGGCGGCCCCCATCAGCCCCGGGCCTCCGTCCGGCCTGTGAAGCAACCTTGCTGGTGAAGGGAGAGAATTCCGTGCGAGTCCCGGGCACGGATGTGTCACGTGCCCTCTGGCGGGTCAGGCCAAGGTCTCGTGCCGCACAGTCACTGGAGCACTCAGCCGCCGAGCGGGAGAAAGGGGCGGGCGGCACGTCTGTCCCCCGTTGCCTCGGGCTGCCCGCTTTCAGCTTCTCTGCCCTGCGGTTTTGTGCACGGGCCCTGTTTCTTGTTCTGTTCTGTTTTGAACGTCTGCGCCCTGTTTCCTTCAGTGTGACACGCCTTACATGCTTTCTCCGTGGGGACGTGGTCTGAAGGACCCTTGAGGAGCGCTTCATGGCCTGTGGAGGCGCCTGGTCTGTGCGCACGGGCGGATGGGGAGAGGCCGGCTCACCGGAAGTCACCCGGAGGGGCCTGAGGGCGCTGCGCAGAGGGAGCCCTTTCCTTTGAGGGACCCGGTAGCTGGATTGTAAGTCGGCTTTGGAAGCAAAAGCGAGAGAAAAGTCCGTTTGTGCCCAGGCGGGCAGGATCTGTTTTATTTATTTTCTGTGGCCGTGCGCTACCCTCTGTGAAGCACCCAGCTGGCCGCTTGACTGAGGCCCGCACGGCTGTATCTGAATTACCCAGTGAGCCGGTTTGTGTCGGCAGAGTTAACTTTACGGCGAGCAGTTAAAGGAAACGAGTCCTGGGTGGTGGCCCTACTTTTGGACTGTTGCTGTGTTTGTCACTACACATCGCCCTGGTCCCCTTGGCTTCTCCGGCCTTTGGGGTGGTGCTGTGGACGGAGTGCTCCCCCCAGGCTGGTCTAGCCACCTGCGAGGGCACACCAGCCAGTGGTGTCTGCGGGGGCCTGGCGGGCACCTGTGCGGAGCGGAGCTGGGTGGCATGGAGGCGCTTGACCGGGGCCTCGGCGAGTTGTCTGCCAGTAGAGGCTGGAGCGGGAAGGGGCCGTGTGGCTGGGATGAGGACGGGGTCGGCTCAGGCCATGTCGGGGGCCCTGGGAGTCGGGCGCTAGAGGGCGGTCTGGGGCTGCTCCGGAGAGCTCTTGGCAGGTGGTGGAGGTGTTGACGTTTATTTGCTTAGTTCTGGGTGCCTCCTGAAGGGCTGCGATCAGAATTGTGCGATGAGAAGGGTCATCCGACTTCAGCGAACAGGATGGACTGAAATGGAGGGAGACCGCGAGCCGGGAGGCTGGGCGGAAGTCTCGAGGTCTCTGACGGGCAGAGCAGCGGGCCCTGCATCAGGGGTGTGTGGTGGGGTTGGGGAGAGTGGGGGTGAATGGGGATCCGAGGTTTAGGGGCCCCAGAGTAGGAAGCAGGGCTGCGCTGTGATGTGTGTGGCGGGACCACTGCGGGTACCCCGGGGGTGCAGAGCGAGACAGCGAGCCCTGGTCGTCGTCTGGTGGGGAGGCTACTCTGAGGAGGATCCCACTGGGCAGGAGTCCGTGGCCTCTGGTGCAGCGACGTGGGCAGAGGCTGATGGGAGGGAAGGGGCATGCAGAGGCCCCGGGCTGAGGTGAGGCGGGGCCGGCCCGGTGCGGGGAGTGGCTGCAGGTGGAGACCCTGGCCACTGTGGGCGGGACAGGTTGGGAACTCAGGCAGAGCGACTCCTCCCTCACTGCCCCCCCTCCAGTTGGCCTCTCCTCTAGCCTGGACACTCCTGTCCATCCTGAGCTGCACACCCTGGTGTGTTCTCTGTCTCCACCATGTTTTACACCAGTGGCTTTCGCGCTTTATTTTTAGCAGTAGAACTTTTTTGCTTTTGCACCTTACGTTGTGAGAAATTCTGGTAGGTTAAGTGGATCGAGCTGGAGCCGTCGTGGTGCCCGTGAGAGTGGGGAGCCCTGTCTTGCGCGTCCCCATCCCGCCCTCCCGCCTCTGGGGCAGAGCTGAGGTGTCCCAGGGCCCCCTCAGGTCTCTTGCCTTGAATGATGCCTGCTCCCTCCTTCCCTGTCCCCAGCCTTCAGTGCTGTCCTGTGCCATCCTGTATGTCCCATGGTGTCGCATCCATCCTCTGCTGGGCCACCAGAGTGACCTTTCTAACAGAAGATCTGATGTGCCTTAAGGTTTGGGTCTAAAATCTTTGTGGGCACCGCTTGATGGCCTGGCCTCGCATCCCTGGTTGGCCTCATCGCGCGCTGTTCACTGTGTTTGGCTCCTGCCGCGGTGACCCAGTGATGTGTCCTGGACGCAGGACACTTCCTTATCTCTGCCTGTCCAGCTGCCGCTTCCTGAGTCTCTCTGGGGTCCCCGTCTCTCTCTCCAGTCCCAAAAAGAGTCTCTTTCTCTGCTCCTCTGTTGCTCCCACCCACCTGTGGCCAGTGGTAGGTGTGCTGGAAAATGTTTAACAGCGGGCATCAGTGGGCCGTGGCGGGGGAGTGGCACCGCCCAGCACGGCACTGGGGAGATGCTCACGTGGCAGGTGGTCAGGGCCTCCTCCCGCGACCCTTGCAGATAGAGCTCTCTCTCCCCGTGGAGGTTCTTTGAAAACAGGAGTGTGGCTGCAGGGTTTTTCTTAACCTTTCTGTCTGACGATGTCGTGTCAGCGAAGATCCTAGCGGGCAGACAGGAAAGGGGACTCCGCGAGGCCCGCGGGTGTCTGAGGGCTCAGGCAAGTCAGCGCGGCCCATGAGCCTTGACTCTGGGTGGCGGAGGCTGCCTGTAGGGAGGGCGGCAGGGAACACCTCTGTCCTCGTCAGCATAGACCTTTGTCTTCCACAGATGAGCAGCAACAGCGCTAAGAGAGCACCTACAACAGCGACGCAGCGCCTGAAGCAGGACTACCTCCGGATTAAGAAAGACCCCGTGCCTTACATCTGTGCCGAGCCCCTCCCTTCCAACATCCTTGAGTGGTAAGGCTCTGCATCCTCCTTCGCCCACACCACCCGTCACCCAGCTTCTCGGGCTGGGCTGTGTGGGCCGGATGGGCCGTCTTGGCGCGGGGAAGGGGCTCCTGTACCCTTGGCAGGTGTGAGTGGACTGTGAGGCCTGTGGACGCTGCCCGGTTGTCTTCACGATGGGCAGCAGCTGGGGGTGTGGTGGGCTGTCCTTGACCCCTGCCTGCTGGGGCCAGAGAGAGGGTCCTTCCTGGGGGAGGCTTTGGGGCCTGCAGGCCTCACGGCTGTTGGAGAAGCTACACGTTTAGACTCTCCTTCTCTGCTCTTTGCTTCTTGGTGCTGTGAGGCGCCCTGTCTTACTTTGGCGAGTTGGTGACGGGGGGACGGGTCCTGATGCTCCAGCTCTGTGTTTTGGGAATATGCATTTCATAGTGATTGTCGCCGTGTTGTAGAAGAGCTGCTCCTACCAGGTTTGCTGGTGATTTTGTGAGAGACAAAGTGTAGGGCTGAAATATCAAGGAGTGTTTTCTCCTTGTTACGTTTTGTTCTTAACAAATACTTAAAAATTTTTTTGAAATTCAGAGAAAAGAGATCTGAGTTAAAAAGCATTTTCCAAGTTGGACAGGTGTTCGAGGATTCTGGGTCTGCGTTCCTCCCTTGGCTCGCAGAGAAGGGCCAGCACTGGCAGGTGGGGCAGAGGGTCTCAGGGGGGAGACTGGCCTTGGCATGTGGGGGAGGCATCAGTGTCGCAGCAGAGCTCTCCCTGCCCCCAGACGACAAAAACCAAGCGTGGCCCCCAGGACGTAGTTGGCAGGTGGACAGATGGGTCCCATGGCAGTCTAGGGGAACATCGTCATTGTGTGGGCCCCTGCT